TTTAATTTTATGTTTATCCCTATGCTTTGAAATTTTGGGATTGGTTTCCTTTAGTAATTCCTAGAAAGCTTAGAAAGAATTGAACTGATTATAAAGTCATTTAATATTCCGCACTGGTAAGTTCAGACTGTTAGATTTATTTTCTGCTTCAATTTATCATAAAATATCATGAAGCCAGGTGTGGCAGTGCATGCCTATAATCTCAGAACTCAGCGGGCAGAGGCAGGAAGATAACTGCAGTTTGAAGGACACTCTAATCTACATAGTAGGTTCCAGACCAGCCAGAGCTCTATAGAAAAACTGCCAATAAATAAACAAACAGATCTTGCTTTGGGGCAGAAGTTCGCTCAGTTGTAGAGGAGTGCTTCCTTAGCAGGCACATGGCCCTGGGTTTTGGGCTCCAGCACTAGGAGAAAAGAAAAAAAAAATGCAGGTTTTATTTATTGTATCCCAGTTAACCAGCAGAAAAGAAGAGGCATTTTGCTTTTGTCTTTTGAAAGTCTTTAGACTCACCCAGGATGTCCTCGGCATTCCTGAACAGATATTTTTTGTCAGATTTAAAATTTTTATTTCATATAATGAGTGTTTTGCATGCCTGATGCCAATGGAGGTCAGAAAACGCTGTCAGATCCCCTGAAATTGGAGTTTACAGATGGTTATGAACCACCATGTGAGTTCTGGGAAACAAACATGGGTCTTCTGCAAGAGCAACTGTTCAGCTCCCAAGTGAAGAAATTTTTAAACGCTTTGCAACAGGCAAAGAGCTAGTTTCAGAAATCCACATTTTAAAACCCATTGTCAGTATGATCAGGGTCTGCTTAGTGTTCATAACCTAGTTTAAGAACAGGATGGACAAGATTAGTTAATTTTCTTTTAAATGAAAGAGTAAGCTTAAAATTGACTTCTGTATTTCTTCTCCAACAGACGGCGGGAAATGACCCATACTGTTTTGTGGAGTTTCATGAGCATCGTCATGCAGCTGCAGCACTGGCTGCTATGAATGGGCGGAAGATAATGGGTAAGGTAAGCTGTCATAATTACAGAAGGTGACTTGCACTGGAAAAGCATTTTTCTTTCTCATCCTCCTGCCTCTCATCCAATTTTATGCAGTGCTTGTAGTGGAGCTAGGGCTTCAAACAGCACTCCACAACAGAGCTGCATCCCCACCTCTTGAAATAGAAAGTTTTAAGTTAGTTTTTACCTTGTTTCTGCTTTAGAACCATTATATCCTATATTTATGGCAAAGTTTCAGCAATTTGTATTTGTATTTAAAAAAAAACGGTAGGAGTAGGCTATAGAAATGGACCAGTATTAAGAGAACTGGTTACTCTTCCAGGTCCTGGGTTAACCTACATGGTGACTCACAATTATCTGTAACTCCAATCCTATGAAATCTGATGTTTTCTTTTTTCCTCTGAGAAAACTGCACACACATGATGCATAGATGTACATTCAAACCAAACACCCAAATGTGAATAAATAAAAATAGAAATAAAAGATCTGGGGCTGGAGAGATGACTCAGAGGTTAAATGCACTACTGGTTGCTCTTCCAGCTGTCCTGGGTTCAATTCCTAGCAACCACATGGTGGCTCACAACCGTCTGTAATGAGATCTGGTGCCCTTTTCTGGCCATCAAGCATACATTTCAGGCAGAACACTGTGTACATAAGTAAGTAAATCATTTTAAAAAGAAAAGAAAAAAAAGGAGCTGACCATGGTGTCACACACTTTTAATTTCAGCACTCGGGAGGCAAAGGCAGGTGGATCTCTATGAGTTCAAGGCCAGCCTGGTCTGCAGAGTAGGTTCCAAGTCAGCCAAGGCTATAATAATCTTCAATGAGTGAATGAATGAATTGATAGGCTAAAGCCTCTAGAGACCAGAGACCTGTGTTAGCTCCTTTTTCTCTGTCATGCTGTGTACATGATAAACCCTAGATAGTTATGGAGCTACTCAAATTTGGATGAAACATAATAATAATATGGAGTACTAATAAAAAGGCATGTATGAGTAACTTTGATTTTAAAGAGAAATGTGGCCAGATGGTGATGGCATATGCCTTTAATCCTAATACTCAGGAGGCAGAAGCAGGTAGATCTCTTAAGTTCCAGGCCAACCTGTTCTACAGAGCAAGTTCTAGAAAAACCAGGACTATACAAAGAAACCCTATCTCTAAAAACTAAACATAATAAAAATAGTAAAAGCCAGGCCTAGTGATGTGTGTCTTTAATCCCAGCATTGCAAAAGCAAAGGCAAGTGGATCTCTTTTGAGTTGGAGGCCAGACTGGTCTACATAATGATTTCCAGGATAGCTAGAGCTACATAATGAGACCCTGTCTTCAAAAAAAAAAAAAAAAAGAAAGAAAGAAAAGAAAAAAGAACAATAAAACAGAACCAAAAATTTGAAAATAAGTTATTTGAACATTAGCTTAGGGTTTGCCAAACATATCTATATTAGCTGGACCTGAATGCTAAGGCAAGAAACTTGCTAGTTCAAGGCTATAGAGTGAATTCTTGAGTTCACCCTGGCAGACTTAGTGACTCATCTTAGAGTAAAATATAGAGATGGGCAGAGCCAAAGATATAGTTCAGTAGTAGATTGTTTGTGCACAATTTGTGAGGCTCTAGTTTCAATACCCAGAACCATAAAAAAAAAAAAAAAAGATGTTGAGAGGTTGTAGAGAGCACTCAGTGGTTAAGAGCACCTGCTAGTCTTCCAGAGCATCTGGATTTGATTCCAGTACCCACATGATAGCTCACAGCCTTCTGTAACTCTGGGTCCAGGGGATTCATTGCCCTCTTTCGAATCTTTACAGGTATTAGGCACAGATATATACAGACTTAGATGAAGGCAAAACATCTATGTACATAAATAAAATAAAAAGAACAGAAAGGGATCTGGAAAAACGGCTCAGCAGGTAAGATCACTGGCTGAGGACCTGTGTTCAATTCCAGCACCTACATGGCAGCTCACCACTTTCTGGAATTGCAACTCAAGTTCAGATACCTTCACAGAGACACACATGCAGGCAAAAACAGCAGTGCCCATAAAATAAATAATTTAAAAAAATGGAAACAATTTGTATTTACCAGTTAGAATTTGTCAAACTAGTCCTGAAGGTGAATGCTAGACTAATTAATACAGGCATCCCCTACACTTTGCCCTGTATCACAGGAAAATGTCATTTTGAGCATTCTTTGTTTTTTTGGTTTTGGTTTTGCTTTGGTTTGGTTTCTTTTTCAAGACAGGGTTTCTCTGTGTAGCCCTGGCTATTCTAGAACTTGCTTTGTAGACCAGGCTGGCCTGGAGCTCAGAGATCCGCCTGCTGTTGCCTCCTGAGTGCTGGGATTAAAGATGTGTGCCACCACCGATCGGCTTGAGCTTTAACTTTATGAAATATAAATATTTAGGGTTTTTTTGTTTGTTTGTTTTAGGAAGTCAAAGTGAATTGGGCAACCACCCCTAGCAGTCAAAAGAAAGATACAAGCAGTAAGTACATTTGATGCCCTGTGGGCATTTGTTGTATTATACCCCATAGTTCTATTTTAAAGCATATAGCATCATACATGTTTGCAGTAATATTTTGATCGTTATCCTGATATGATTTAATGTGTTTGTGTTAATAAATTTAAGAACAAATCTAATCTTTGTCATCAGGTAGTACCGTTGTCAGCACACAGCGTTCACAAGGTAATTGTATCTTCTTAAACATAAAATGAACTCTCTTGAAAGGGTATTCACTAACCACCTTGAGTTTTTTATTTGATATTGGTTGGGGGGAGTGGGGTGGAAGGATATAGTTATTTTTATGTTTCTGGCAATATTTTTCCCCTTCTTCCCATTGTTTACCAAGTGTGGCTTGTCCACGACTTTGTTGCTAGTTCAAGCTCTCTGTCCCCCTTGGTAGCAGCTGATGCCTTAGAAATACTTTCACCACGTAAAGGGCAAGATACCCTACTTCCCTGAGGTCACCTGGGCTTCATACCCAAATCTTCCAAGTGCTCAAGTTGCTCCTGAAACAGTGTTTCCGGAAGAGCAACCCAGTGTGTTGCTTAAGGCCTGCAAATAGGGGTAACTTTTCTTTCCAAATCTACTTTGTCAAAGTTGATATATGTGTCCATTTTAAAGTGTTCTTGAGCAAGTTTGGCTTTTCAAATGTTTCTTTGAGAATTATCTTAAAAAAACAAAGCTTCACATATGGGATGGTTATTTCTCACCAATGCTCTTTTAATGGTGCTGATATAAAGTGAAGGGATTACTGTTTTCATTCTGTTGCCTTCAGTCTTAGTTCACTTGCACATGGATTCACATAAACTGAATGGTGTAATGTCTGGGCAACCAAAACTGTTGGCTTTTGAGAAAACTGTCAAATACTTTAACATCAAACTGTTGCATTGCAAGGTATTTCTTTGATTGTTCTTCACAAAATTGTGGCTAAACCAATTATTTCATATAGCTAGCTAGCTTCAGTAAATTGCCTTAAATAAGGTAAATCTGTTCTTCATAACTCGCATTACTACCACTTAATTGTAATTTGTAAAGCATAGATATAGTAATAAAATGAAAAACAGTAAATAATTACTATTAGAATGATAACTAAGTCTTACTTTTTTTGCAGAACTGAAAGTTTTATATGTTGTTAGTTTGTTTCCTAGACCCTTCTAAGGACTGACTGTAATTAGACAGTGACTGCCAGCTCTGGGATCTGTCAGTCTCTTTAGAAGACTCCTGTGTTGCTAACTCTGAGTTGTTATGTTTAAGACTGATAGGATTTTATAGCGAGGACAGTATTTTATACCTGATTATGTAGTCTATGCATTATTTTAAGAATTCTTTATTGCATCAATTGTAGTACTTAAATTCTGAAGTTGTATTTTTCTTTTCACTCCCCTCCTTCCTTTGTAAGATCATTTCCATGTGTTTGTTGGTGACCTCAGTCCAGAAATCACAACTGAAGATATCAAAGCAGCTTTTGCACCGTTTGGGAGAATTTCGTAAGTTACAACAGATAAATAAAACACTTTTAATTAGAAGTGATTTTACATAATAATAACTGTAACTTTGTTGTGACTGTGAACCTTAATTTTAACACTTTAAATAGAACATATTCCATTATTTAGAAATCATCCAAGAGTCTTACCAGCAGGTTATGCTCCCACTAGTGAGTAACTAATTGATCTTTGGTTGTCTTAGACCCTTGCTCAGTTAGCAGCACTTCATCAGACTGCTGTCATAGACATTTTTAAACTCCTGAAAGTGTGCTGTGATTAAAGAGTTATTCAGGCACTTGTATGATTACATGCATTTTATGTTAATTTAATAAAATAAAACCTCAACAGTTTTGATTGAAAAAGCAGTTGTTAAATGTTACTTCCTTGACATTTAATTCCTACCCTGCTTTAAAACTTAGCAATAGTGCTTTGTACTATTTTGGAAAACATTACATTTGATAGTAGCTATGTATTTCAGGAGCTTTGTCAGTATTAATTCAGGGTAGTATTCGTCATAAAAGAGCTTGAGAAGTCTGAAAAGCATGCCATATTACAGTAAGAATAACAAGCAGTTTCAGTGTTTATTCAGAAGCAGTTGTTGAGTTTAGGGGAAGTTTTATAGGGTTTCTGATTCCTATGTTATTGTGTCACTAGAGCAAAAATAAAAAGGGAGTTCTAGCTATGACTAGTTTGAGCAAAACAGCAGATAAAGGTGAGGAGATTAGAAAGTAGATGCCCATAGCATTGTGATGAGTTTTCAATTGAGAGTTGCAGTTGGTTGAAAGACTCACCTTGAGGGTAAGACAGGATTGGAGCTTACAAATGGACTTTTCTGTTAAATGACACTTTCCTTTATGAGAACTGGGTAAGAAAACAATAAGATTCTAAATTCTTGGTTGTTTTTTTATAAGCTGTGTTAGAATTTCAGTAGTGGTTGGTTTGCTTTCAAGTATCTAGACTAGGCAGGTCTTACTTTAACTTTTTCTGTCAAGCTCTAAAAGTCCTTCTCTGCAAATCTTGTACATTTTCAATTTGGTGTAGAGAATCTTGGTAAGTTTCATCCTGTCCTCAGAGTAGTCACAGGACTACAGAAGGCTTAAGAGTTCCATGCTGCTTTCTGTGCAGGTCATTTTAGAAGGAAGTAAGGGTTAAGTATATTTCAGGGGCTTATACTTCTGAGACACTGGAAAAAAGAAAAATGCTTTTCTAACATTGTGAACAAGTGGAATAGCTATTTTGGTGGATTTTTAATTTTGGTTGAATTACCTTTTCTGGTGAGAGTTTTAGTTAGAAATTTAGACAAAGATTGAAGGGCTGATAAAATGGTTCAACAGATAAAGTTGCTTGCTACCAAGCCTGATAATCTGAATTCAATCCCAGAACTCCACATGGTGGACAGAGAAAGCTGACTCCTGAAAATTGTCCTCTGACTTCCATACATCCATACACACAGACACAGACACACACACACACACACACACACACACACTATTTTTTTAAATGTACAGTTAAATGACCTTCAAGTTTTGAAGTTTCATGACTTTGATATTATAAACTAGTCTATCTATTTGCTAAATATGACTACATCATATTTTTAGTCTGGACTTTTATTTGTGTATTTTCACATGTGTGTGGGTGTGTATGGGCGTGCGTATGTCATCCTCTATCACTCTCCACGTCATACATTGAGGCAGAATTTCTCACTAAAACCGAGAGCTCAACAATTCTAGTCTGGCAGCTTACTCTGAGCTCAACAATTCCACTAGTCTGGCAGCTTACCCTGAATATCCCTTGTATCTGCCCCCCAAGTACTGGAATTCAAGGTGGGCTGCCACCCTGAACTGATGTTTATGTGCTGGAGATCTGAACTCAGGTCCTTTCATTTGCATGCTAGCGCGTTATCTGCTGAGCTGCTGAGCTGTTTTCCCAGCCCCAGTATTTGGATTTTCTTAAGGGCTCATAATTGTTAGTATATTAATTTTTTTCTTGATAAGGCCTTTCTGTTGAGGTGTGTTTAAATGTTAGCTTATACAGGAAGTTAGCTTTCCTAAATTTAAAAACTTATTTGACAATTGAAAATACACATTCGGTTTTTGTTGGTGTTGTTTCTTGTCTTAAGGCAACAGACTGATAAGAATATTAAAGAGTTTTTACAGTAGATATCTCTGTAGGCAGTTTATACCATGCTTTATTTATAGAAGGTGTGAGGTACATGATGGTGTGTTAAATATATAATGTGAAAATAATTCTTTCCCTAATTTATATAACTCAAGTGTTACTTGAGTTTAGGGTCATATAGCAAATTTTGATATAGAAATAAATCAACTAGCAAATTAAATGCATGTGTGCCTTGTAGATAATAGTTACGGAGAAAGGGCTTACATTAGTTTTCCCTAATCATCAAAATCTCTCATTTTGATTGCACTTAATAAGACACTTCTAAACTGATCTAAAATATGCTTGTGTATACTTACAATTACATTGCATGGCTTTCTGACTTGGGTTCTTGTAAACATGCCTGTTTTGTTCATGTGTCTTGAGAGAACAAGCATTGTGACATACCTGGCTAATTTAAAATAGATTGCCTGTGAAGCACAATTTGAGTCCAATTTTTTGAGGTATGGAGTTTTAGCTATCGTGGCTGGGTTTTTACTCAATCTCAAATAATAGGGCTCTGGTTATTTTGCAGAGTGTCTCTGAAGAATGGACAGAATTGCCCTGGCTAACTACAAGCTACGGTTCACAGTGGATAAATGTTGGCGTGCTTTTTTACTTTTTGACTTTTTAAAACTTTGTTTCATGTCTTGTAGTTTCCAATCAATCTTAATATGAATGCTATTATAAAATTCAGTACAAAATCTTTCTTAGTTTAAAAGTAAAATGTGTTTGTAGTATTCTTATTCTTCAATGATTTAGCATTTCTGAAAATGTCAAGTTCTCAAAATTTACCGTAGCCCAAAATGGGGGTATATATTCATCTGAGAAAATGAAGTAATTAGTTTAAGGGATATTCATATTTTATCCTTTAGTTTTCAGTTTTGTATTTTAATATTTTGGATGATTAGGTCAAATATGGTACCAAATAGTAAATTATAAATTGCATGGTTAAAGAAGGACAATGTATCATACCTGAAATCTTGTAATTATTAAGTGATTAATGGGAACATCTGTTTTAACCATGCTTAATATTTAGATGTTCATAAAATGTTCTGAAGTAGGAAACGTTAAAATATAGATTTATATTTAAGGCATTATTGATTTGCATGTCTATAAAATTAACCCTCACTGGTCAATAAATAAGTTTTAGAGAATAAAAGGTGGTTTTATAGTAACGGTTTACTGTTAGTGAAGGTGAAACATAAAAATGAATTGTATGTGCCTCTCATTTTATGCCCCAAAGGGCAGTTTACAAAACTGAATTTCTGGTGGCTTCTGTTTCAGAGATGCCCGTGTGGTAAAAGACATGGCTACGGGGAAGTCTAAGGGATATGGCTTTGTCTCCTTTTTCAACAAATGGGTGAGCAGAATCAGAAGTGCATGCACAGTGCTTAGAGAAGGATGAAAATATTTAGGTTGTTTTAATCCTTTTGTCTACTGTCTATCTAGTTCATTGATAATTAGCATCTTTACTAGAAAACAGTCTCTGTTATTCTGTTTGGTTATTTAGTCATTTAGCACTTGATACATGCAAAATACTGATTGCTTCAAGCAAAGCAAACTAAAAATGCTTACAACCAAAAAAACAAGCCCAAAATATTTTGTCAAGGTACTTTGATGATTTGTAATTGCTCTGTTATCCCAAAGACTGAGAGACGTATACTGCTGCTGTGCCTATGTATCCTTACCCCTGTTTTGCATTTCCCAAATTCATTATCCAGGAAGTGGATAAAGACAGTGTTGCAGTTTTGAAAAGCTTTTGGTTATTGTGATTCATAAGGCACTTTCATTATTTATTTATTCAGCTATTTGTTTATTTATTTATTTTTATGGTTTTTTCAGGCAGGGTTTCTCTGTGTAACGGTCCTGGCTGTCCTGGAACTCACTTTGTAGACGGGCTGGTCTCGAACTCACTGAGATCTGCCTGCCTCTGCCTCCTAAGTGCTGGGATTAAAGGTGTGCACCACCGCTGCCTGGCTCATTTTCATTTTTTAAAATCTGCAAAAAGCATCACATGGTCTTTATTGCTATAAGTTATTTGTAATATCAACTAATTGCAGCTTCTTTATTGTCTCTAATGTGCGGAACAGGATGCGGAAAATGCCATTCAGCAGATGGGTGGCCAGTGGCTTGGTGGAAGACAAATCAGAACTAACTGGGCAACCCGAAAGCCTCCAGCTCCAAAGAGTACATATGAGTGTAGGTGCATTGGAGAAGAGAAGCAATGTGGAATTGTGGAGAGAAAATACACTAGATTTTAAATGTTAGAGCTGTTCCTGGAGACTTATTGCAGAAATAGATGAGAAGCAGATCAAGACTACTGTTCAAAATGTACTTAGTTTTCATTTTTGTGATTTTAAATAATTAGCTCTAATGTCAAGTCTCCTGCTGAATAGAGCACATGGAATAATGCTTATGCATTCTTGGGGGAGGCTTAATCCTAAACTAAATGTTTAGTAAAACACTATACAATATGTGTTATAGACATTTTGACTGAGGGAAACTGCCATTATAGTAGGGTAGTTAATGAGTTAATCCTTCCAAATCTGTGTAATGATTTGACGATAGAAAATGTTCTCTCTTCCCAGTGAATACCAAACAACTGTCATATGATGAGGTTGTAAGTCAGTCTAGCCCCAGCAACTGCACTGTGTACTGTGGAGGTGTGACGTCCGGACTGACAGGTATGGGGAGTTTGCCTTCTTGAAACTAGCTTAAACTTTGTAAAGCTTCATATTTATATGTTTTTAATAGTGTAAACTCTTCTTTTGTTGTTTGTTTTTGTTTTCTAACAGAACAATTAATGCGTCAGACTTTTTCTCCATTTGGACAAATAATGGAAATTCGAGTCTTCCCAGATAAAGGATATTCATTTGTTCGGTAGGGGTAGTTTCTTTCTATGTTATTTTCTTAAGAAATAATTTTGAGCATTTAATATTGTGATTTCTTAAGAATTTGTCTTGGGGGCTGTAGAGAAGACTCAGTGGTTAAGAGCATCAGCTGCTCTTCCAGAGGTCCTGAGTTCAATTCCCAACAACCACATGGTGGCTCACAACCATCTATAGTGGAATCTGATACCTTCTTCTGACATGCAGATATACATGCAGATACATAAAATAAACTTTAAAAAAAAAAAAGAATTTGGGGGCTGGAGAGATGGCTCAGAGGTTAAAAGCACTGGCTGTTCTTCCAGAGGTCCTGAGTTCAATTCCCAGCAACAACCTGGTAGCTCACAACCATCTGTAATGAGATCTGGTGCCCTCTTCTGTCATGCAGGCAGAACACTGTATATATAATAAATAAATCTTTAAAAAAAAAAAAGAATTTGTCTTGGCTTTGCAGGACGGTGGTAGCACAGGCCTTTAATCATAGCACTTGGGAGGTAGAGGCAGGAGAATCTTTGTGAGTTCGAAGCTAGTCTGGTCTGGAGCAAGTTCTAGGGTAGGCTCCAAAGCTACAGAGAAACACTATCTTGAAAAACCAAAGGGGAAAAAATTCTTTTTGAATTTGTCTTGCCTTGATTGCTTAAGCTCAAGTGCATTCCCTTGAAATGAAACCTGAGAGAGAAACATCTTTAGCATATAGCTGTGTGTGCTCATTTATTTATTTATTTTTTTTAAGTTTATTTATTTATTGTGTATTCAGTCTTTTGCCTGCATGCCAGCAGAGGGCACCAGACCTCATTCAAGGTAGTTGTAAGCCACCATGTGGTTTCCAGGAATTGAACTGAAGACCTCTGGAAGAATAGTCAGTGCTCTTAACCACTGAGCCATCTCTCGAGCCCCCTCTTCTTTTTTTTTTTTTTAATTGACAAGGTCTTACTGTGAAAGACCTGAAGTTGTCAGGCTGAATGCCTCGTGACGTCCCGAGCTCAATAACCAGACAGTTGGATGCAAACTGCAAGAGGTTTATTGTTTACACAGGCGTCTGCGGGCACTCCAGCAGCCTTAGCTAGCTGAGAGCCCCGGGCTTTAGGACAGTTTTCTTTTTATGTACATAATTTTGGCAAGCAAAGCAATAGGGGTATTGTAAAAAGCGGAGCCACTGCAGGTGCAGATCTGGGCAAGCAATAGGGATATTGTAAGAAGCACGGGCATAACTCATCCTTCCTGGAGAAACCACAAGGTCAAGATTAAACTTATCTTAACAGCCTGCCGGTGTCCTGCATCAGCACTCTGGACCAGATGTTCTTTTTAATTCGACCTTGTTCCCTGCCTAGGGGAAGAGACCTTGGGGAATTTTCCACTGAGGCAACCTTCGGAGTCTCAAAAAGGGGGGGGGTGTATTGAAGTCTTTCAACTGTACTGCTCTGGCTGGCCTCAAACTCAGAGCTCCAACTGCCTCACCTTCCAAGTGCTGGGATTAAAGGCTACTTAATGGTGTGTGTGTGTGTGTGTGTGTGTGTGTGTGTGTGTGTGTGTGTGTATTATATATGTTTTGGTTTTTTGATAAATTATATATTTTTGTAACTCCCTCTGTCCAACACAAGATGACCTCCATTAAAACAAATTCCCTATGACAGGCATGGTGGTGCATATCTATAGCCATAGCACTTGAGAGGTTGAAGATTTCCACAGCTTTTTTTCTTTTCTTTTGGTTTCTCTGTGGCTTTGGAGGCTGTCCTGGAACTTGATCTTTGTAGACCAGGCTAGTCTCAAACTCACAGACATCCACATGCCTCTGCCTCCTGAGTGCTGGCATTAAAGGCATGTGCCACCCCGCTAGGCTAAATCTCTACAGCTTTAAGATCTTTAAAAAGAAAATAGTGAGTGGAGCTGGAGAGATGGCTCAGAGGTTAAGAGCACTGGCTGTTCTTCCAAAGGTCCTGAGTTCAATTCCCAGCAACCACATGGTGGCTCACAACCATCTGTAATGAGATCTAGTGACCTCTTCTGGCATGTAGGCATATACACAGGCAGAACACTGTATACATAATAAGTTTTTTTTTTTTTTTTTTTTGGTTTTTCGAGACAGGGTTTCTCTGTGGCTTTGGAGACTGTCCTGGAACTTGCTTGGTAGTCCAGGCTCGTCTCGAACTCACAGAGATCCACCTGCCTCTGCCTCCCAAGTGCTGGGATTAAAGGCGTGTGCCACCAACGCCCGGCTAATTTTTTTATTTTTAGGTATTTATTTATTTTGGTTTTTCGAGACAGGGTTTCTCTGTATTGTTTTGGAGACTGTCCTGGAACTTAGTCTTTGTAGACCAGGCTGGCCTGGAACTCACAGAGATGTGCCTGCCTCTGCCTCCCGAGTGCTGGGATTAAAGGCATGCGCCACCAACGCCAGACTTATAAGTAATTTTTAAAGTGCATATATTTAAAACAAAACAAAAAAAAAAGATAGCAAAAGAAAAGTCCCAATATTTTGGTGGGTAGGTAGGGATCAGTTCAGAATCCTCTATTTTTTTTTCATGCTTATTTTGCTTTTTTCCCCCAAATGGTAATCAAAATTATTTTTCATGATTTTTAAAAAACGTTTGTGTTCATAAATACTTAGAGAACTTATATTGGTGATTCTTAATATTGTTTCCAATAGGTTCAGTTCCCATGAAAGTGCAGCGCATGCGATTGTCTCTGTTAATGGTACTACCATTGAAGGGCATGTGGTGAAATGCTATTGGGGCAAAGAGACTCTTGATATGATAAATCCTGTGCAACAGGTGAGAGGGTCCTTGACTTTGGGATGGATTTGCTGGGCTAGTAATGAGGTTGCTTTAAAATGAAGCTTGTTGATAATCCTTGTTAACGAGTTTCTAGCTCACTTCATAGTACATAAGGGCTCTTCCTACGTGTATTATAGTTCCGGAGTGGTGTGTCATGGATTGCAGTGGTGACATGATGAGTGTAACCGCCTCAGTTGACTCATGCTCACACAGTGGATTTTAAAATGCTCCGCCAAACCTAACAGGGTATTAAATCTTTTCTTAATACTTGGTAGATTTATTCACAATGATTTGGAGAACTCACAAGCATGCTTGACCCAACTGAACAAAAAGTAAAGCTATAGGTATATGTAGACTTTAGTATTGCTGCTTTTTCTTTTTCTATGCAACTTCCAGTGGTCCAAACTTAACCCCACAGAGACTTCTATGAGGGAATTGTAAATGGAGCATAGAGGTGCCAGTAAGAAAAACCCTAAATTACATGTATAGACTTCTTAGGTTCTCAATCTAGACGAAACAACATGTACAGTTATGAGCATCAAGGTCAATGTTGATCATTAGTCTTTTGCCTGAGCCTTTGCAAGACTGCCATTTAGATCACCAAATAGTTTCAGTATAATGGCACTTTTTTCAGTGGGGTGGGTGTGTGCGCTTGTGAGATGATGATGATGCTGGGGTTGAATCCAGGCCTCACATAGATTCAGAAAGCACTCATTCTATCACTGAGTTACATTCTCCCAGGCCTGACCTATTATTTCAGTTGTGGTGATGGCCCTGTGCTTTGGCTGTGTGGTATATTAAAAGTGTATATAGAAAGAACTTCAAGTAATACTAAATTATCTTGTAATTTTACTTGATAGCAGCAAAATCAAATTGGATATCCACCACCAACATATGGCCAGTGGGGCCAGTGGTATGGAAATGCACAACAGATTGGTCAGTATGTGCCTAATGGTTGGCAAGTACCTGCCTATGGAATGTATGGCCAGCCGTGGAGCCAGCAGGCATTCAAGTAAGTACATTTGCTCTTTGCCTTTCTTAACCTTGGAAAACATCAGAAAGAAACCAAGTGTTGAATAGATCATGTGGACCCCTTTTATTGTATTTTATTTATTTGTGTGACACACATACCGCTTTGTATTCATGGTGGCCAGGAGAAAACTTGTGGGGGTTCTTTCCTTCTACCACATGAGTTGTGGTGTTCAAGCTCAGGTTCCAGCTTAGTGACAAGCACTTGACTCATCTTACCAGTCCCTTTGTTTTGTTTTCTGAGGCAAGATCTTAGGAAGCCCACACTGGCCTTGAACTTAATATAAAACTGAGGGTGACCTTGAACTCTTACTCCTCATGCTTCTATCTCCCAGTTACAGTGTTTGAACAATACACTCAAATTAAATCTACTTTCTAGTGAAAAGTACTTGATAGCTACATGACTGTAGCTCCTTATCTATTCTTTTTTCAATTTTATTTATTTTTGTTTTATGCACATTAGTATTTTGCCTGCATGTGTGTCTCTGTGAGTGTGTTGAATCCCCTGGAACTGAGGTGGCCATGTAGGTGCTGGGAATTGAACCCAGGACCACTAAGACATCTCTGCAGCTTCTTTACCTGTCCTTGTTTTGTTTTGTTTTTGCTTTGTCTTTTGAGACAGGGTTTCTTTTTCTGTGTAGCTTTGGAGGCTGTCCTGGAACTCTCACTCTGTAGACCAGGCTGGCCTTGCACTCAGAGATCCTCTTGCCTCTGCCTCCCAAGTGCTGGGATTAAAGGTGAGCACCACCAACTCCCAGCTCTTACCTATTCTTCAATACATGTTTTAAAGATGTACTTTATGTCTGTGAGTCTCTTGCCTACCTATATGTTTGTGGTGCCTGCAGTGGTCAAAAGAAGGCATTGAATCACTTGGAATGGATGATTGTAAGCCACCATATGGGTACTGGAAATTGAATTTGGGTCTTCTACAAGAGCAACAATTGCTCTTAACTCGTGAGCCAACTCTTGCATCCATGAGATATAGATTATTCACCCATGGAAAAGGTCTCTTTCCTTTATATGGGTTCCAGCTGTGAAAAGTACCCCTTCTCTCTGTGTGTCTGCTCCTCTGCCAAAGAATTTGGCCTCTGAGATGAAAGGCTGCTCTAGGAACTTTTCTTGAGGGACCCAAACTCTATGGTCCCTCAATTGCACCATGTAGGCTATTAGCTTCAGTGTTTTTGCTAGTGTTACTTGTGTCTGCCCACTAAACAGGTTTCACAGTTTATCAAGGGCATTTGTTGTTGTTGTTTTTTTTTTCGAGACAGGGTTTCTCTGTGGCTTTGGAGGCTGTCCTGGAACTCACTTTGTAGACCAGGCTGGCCTCGAACTCACAGAAATCCGCCTGCCTCTGCCTCACGAGTGCTGGGATTAAAGGCGTGCGCCACCAACGCCCGGCTATCAAGGGCATTTGTAAAATGGTTTGGTTCTTCATTCCCAAGGTAACTAACCAATGTCGCACATATGTTGATCAAATTTGTCAAAGTTGATCCTGTGATGATGTGGAACTCTGGCATCACTCCAGCCTCTGGTATTTCTGTTGTTGGCCAGTGCAGACCTGGTCATCCCCACATGGCCCTGGCCTTCCCTAAGAGCAGATAAAGTGAAGGAGCAGTACAAGTGATTTGATGTGCATTGTGTGTGTGTCAAAGATTTGTTCATACACTGTTATGTCATACCCCAGATGATGCCATTTTATTTACATTTCTAAAGAACAAACTGGGGTTGTAAGTACAGTATATCAAGATATACTGTAAGGCAGGTGAGGTGGCACATATCTTTAATCCCAGCACTCAGGAGGCAGAAGCTGGTAGATCTCTATAATTTGGAGGCTAGCCTGATCTACATAGCAAGTGCCATGCTAGCTCAGACAACAGTCCTTTTTTCAAAGAAAAAGAAAAAAAGATATACTCTGTCTGAAATTGTCAGATTGGAAATATTCTGTAGTGGATCTAGGAAGATGGCTGAGCAGTTAAGATCACTTGTTGTTTCCACAGATGACCGGGTTCTCAGCACCTACATGACAGCACAGCCATCTACAATTCCAGTCCAAGAGATCCAACACCCTTTTTCAGCCTTAGTAGGTCCTAGGCATGCTGTGCACATTCATACATGCAGGCAAAAAGTCAAACACATAAAAATAAATCTTAAAAAACAAAAACAGTAAAGATAAGACCTAAGCTGCTTTATAGTTTTCCTTGAGTATTGTAGATGTTTGTTCTCCCTATACTTGGTATCAAGGATTTTTTTGTTTGTTTTTTAAGATTTATTTATTTATTACATATACAGTATACTGCCTACATGCCAAAAGAGGACACCAGATTGAATTATAGGTGGTTGTGAACTACCATATGGTTGCTGGGAATTGAACTCAGGACCCCTGGAAGAGCAGTTAGTACTCTTAACCTCTGAGCCATCTCTCCATCCCTGTTTGTTTCACTGTGTGGCCCTGGCTGTTCTGAAACCACTATGTAGACCAGGCTGACCTCAAATTCATAGAGATCCACCTGTCTCTGCTTCTCCAGAGCTGGGATTAACTACCCAGCTTAAAACTGTTTTCTTAGCTGTAATTAAAAAAAAAATTAAAATGCATACACACACACATATATGTATGGGATTTTTTTTTTTTAATTTTCTGGTTTTCAAGACAGCGTTTCTCTGTAGCTTTGGAGAGTATTTTGGAACTTGTTTGTAGAGTAGGCTACCCTGGAACTCACAGAGATTCACCTGTCTCTGCATTCTGATTGCTGGGATTAAAGACCACCATCCATCTGGGGATGCTTATTTTTAAGAGAAAATACTTTTGTTTGTTTTTCCTGACTTAACGGTTTTTCTCATATTTGGATTAAGAAAAGGTATGCTCCTCTGTATGTGTTACTCACTCCTGGCCTGACATTGTTTTAACAATGGATTTCCCTCCCCTCTGCTTCTCTCACTTTTCTAACAGTCAGACCCAGTCTTCTGCACCCTGGATGGGACCCAATTACAGTGTGCCGCCACCTCAAGGGCAGAATGGCAGCATGCTTCCTAATCAGCCTGCTGGGTATCGAGTGGCAGGGTATGAAACTCAGTGAAAACAGACTACAGAATGGAAGCCAGTGGCTTGACTGCTACAGGGAGGGTAGGAATCAGTCAGTACAAATGCCAGATAACAATGTATTTATTTAAAAGATTCATTTTTTTAATCATGAAATTACTTTCATCCACATTGTTTTAAAAAGGAACAAAATGGTGGATGTCTGCCAATTTTTGCCTTCATTATCTTTTTGATAAAGTTTCTCAGATCCTTGTTTTAAAGACAAATGCAGGGATTGCTGCCGCTTTTTAAAAATTAAGAGGCAGAAAATTGCACAATGTTGAACTTTTTTCCACTAAAGTAGCGTGCAGTTTAGTTTGCATTCCTGGTATGATTTAAAATATGTAATATAGATGTAAAAAGAGAAGCCAAACTTGTGCAAAGTCTAGAAGTTCTTTATAACTTTCAGCATATGCACAATTCTGTGTTAGTTTTAAAGAGTAGGCATTACATGACCTATGCCATCTCCACTGTTACCCCTTTTGAATTTTTAAATGTAAATTATTAGTTTATATCATTTTGTATCTACATTTTTCACAAACTTGTCCTGCCTTATGAAAATTCTGTAAAATATTGTTAAATGAAAAAAATGATGTTCACTTAGACTGAAAACTTTTCTCAGATGGACTGATAATTGCATTCATCTTGTTTTTATATGAGAAGGTGCCTCAAGGATTCCCTGTTGGATTTGTTTAAAGGGATTTTTATCTTCTGTGATAAACTTTGCCATCTACCAAGAACTATAAAAACAACTTGTGACTAAGGAGACTCTGCAGCGTGCTAAGTCCTCACCCACATCAGCTTCATGTATCAGCATCTATGTTTACACGTGTTATTTTCTGAGAGATTTCCACAAGTAATATTTTGAAGTTAGCAACCTTTGTATGTCATTCCTTTCCTAAAGGTGTCATGAAGAGTTGGCGTGAGACGGGTTTTACGTTTGCATGTGAATATCACATACACACTTTGGTAGTCTTTGATACAAGCTCATCTGTTCTTGTTTTCAAGAATTTTGAGACACAAAGTTGTATGTAAAGGAATATATTAATTTGTTTTCTAGTTATATTTACTTGAAAGAGTAAATCCACTTCATTATGTACAAATGATAGCTGTGAAACTGTAGAATATTCCTCTGTCAGGCTTGGGATTCATTAAGAACTCCAAAATTAGCCTGTAGGACCAGCTGGGCAAAACTTTTTTAAATATTCAGTGGCCAAAATATGAACAAACAAACAAACAAACAAACCCTTAAAATTCTACCTCTTTAAATAGCCATCAAGGAAGAGGCTCCTCAACATAGGCAAGACTTTGGTTCTTTGGTACCTGATCTCATGGAGCTTCCACATTATTATTTTTGAGGTTTGCTCTTTGATGGCATTGTTCTTGCCTTGGGATTTCTAATACATTTCAGAGTCTCTTGGTTTGGTTTGGTTTCAGTGATGACCACAACCTCCTCCTTGACATCAGAGAGAAAGGAGCCCCTGTGAATTGTGGGTTTTGAGACCCGCAGAGAGCTCCCAGCATATTACTTAGGCCTGTGGAATTGGAAGCATTTCCTGGCCTGTATCTTCCAGGTAGGAGCACATGACTCTAACCTGTTTTCTAAGCCAGTCCTCTTGTAAAAACAGAGCCCAGGAAGATAGCTTGAAATGTGTGCTTCTCTGGAGCTCAGTTCTATGCAGTTGTGCTGATGTTTCATTAAGTCACTGTGTATTTTTAAGTACTAATACATTGAAATTTGCTTTATGGAAGATGAATAAATTTTTTAAAATACTTGGAAATTTTATTTCTTTGTAAACTTCTACAGATCAGGACAGGCAATAAAAGCAGCTTAAATGAAATAAAAAAAATTTAAAAACCACACATCAGGAAGCTATTTTGGCTAATTCTTTTTTAGCTATCTTATTTCTTTTCTTCTGACTTTTGTTTTTATTTTAGCACCCTCAGAATTTTTCTCTATTAAAGAATTTTACTTCCTTTGCAACTCAGATTGCAGGATCATTTAGTCACAAGTAATTTATTTTGTGCAAAAGTGTAGTTTCTTCTTTTGACTCAGTACTGAGACTTACTAGCAGCATGTTCTTATTGCACAGATTTTAAAATTCATGTTGTGGTAGTGACGTGTTCCTGTTGAAAGACTGACATTTTCAGGAACATAGATGGTGTTGGTTTAAATTTCAATGTTCAATCATTTAAATCGTTTTCAACCTAAAAAACTTCCTCTTGGTGTAAGTATCAGGTAAGGAAATTAAGGTTTTTAAAGTGAAGTTCTTTGCAATATGCATTCAGATTTTATTCTCTGGTACTGTAAAGAACCTGAGTGACTCTCAGTGGGTCCTGGAGCCAGTATTCTTTATCCTGACTGTTTGGATATTAAAATTCCTTTATGTTTTCTATGACCTGTGGGATCTTTTTGCAGTGATTATTGTGTGTGAGATTTTTTTCCTTGTGCAGGTTATTATTAACACTCAATCAGGTGTTTCATGGGAGTTCTTTCACTGTATCCCAGAAGCCAAAACGTGTGCATAGAAAATTTTAAAAAGTAAATCTTTCAAATGTGTGATGATTTCTAAAAATCTAAAAAACTATCACTTATTGGTCTGGTGACCTGGCTCAGCAGGTAAAGGTGACTGTCACCAAGCCTGCTGGCCCGAGTTTGATCCTTGGAACACACTTAGTGGAAGTAGAGAACTAACTCTCAACAAGTTGTCCTCTTACCTCCACATGTGTGAGCCCCCACCCCCATGACCACAGATATAAATAAGCATTTAAACCTGTTGGTTTTTCTCTTTTTTGTTGTTTTTCGAGACAGGGTTTCTCTGTGGCTTTGGGAATGTGTAGCCCAGGCTGGCCTTAAACTCGTGATCCTCCTGTCTCTGCCTCCTTCAGCAAATCCTCCCAGCATGCACCACCACAACCCACTGGTTTTCTTTTATTTACTTACTTACATATTTATTTATTTATTTATTTATTTATTTATTTTCTTTGTTTTTTCAAGGCAGAGTTTCTCTGTGGCTTTGGAGGCTGTCCTGGAGCTAGCTAGCTCTTGTAGACCAGGCTGGTCTCAAACTCACAGAGATCCGCCTACCTCTGTGTTGGGATTAAAGGCGTGCACTACTGCTGCCGCCGCCACCACCACCACCACCCGGCTGTTTTTTCTTTTTAATATGCATCATATATGTTTGCATCTGTGCTTGTGAGTGCAGGGGCCCATGGATGCCAGAAGAGAGGGTGTTGAAATCCTGGAGCTGGTAGTTGTGAGCTGCCTGACATTGGTGCTAGGAACTGAACTATGAAAGAACAGTACATGCCCTTAACCACTGAGCTTTCTTTCCAGCCCCTCTTTTCTATTTTTTTGCTTGTTCATTTTGTTTTGAGTCGGTTTCACTACTTATGAGTGCTAGGATTAAGGCCTGTCTTGGTTACTGTTTTATTGCTGTGAGGAAACACCATGACCAGACCAACTTATACCAGAAAATTTTTAATTGGGGCTTGCTTACATAGGGTTAAGTTCATTATCATCATGGTGAAGAGTGTGGTGACAGGCAGGCATGGTGCTGAGCAATATCTGAGAGGGGAAGGAAGACAGAAAGAAGACAGGACCTGGCATGGGCTTTTGAACCTTAAAAGCCAACCCTCAGGGTCATACCTTCAACAAGGCAACACCTAATTCTTCCTAAACAGTCCACCAACTGAACCATTCTCATTGAAACTGCCACAGAGAGCTATTTCATTTTTTTTCCAGTCACTGTAGTCTGACTGATATAGTTAAGGTTTGGCCAGCATCCTCCAAAACCTTGAGTTTTCAGTCTTAATGAAATGAAGGTATTGCAGCTGAGCAGGATTTTCTCCCTTTACTTTGAGACCTTAGTCATGTGACTCTATGGTAAAAGAGGCCCGCTTTTTAGTAAGGCATGGTAATATATGCCTGTAATCCCAGCATTTAGGAATTTGAGGCAGGAAAATGGCCACGAGTTCTAGATCTGGCCTCCATGGCATCTGCACAAGGACACACATATAATTAGACTGTTATTCCGTTTTTGTTAAGCTTTATTTTTGTTATTTTTAAATTATGTGAGTACGTGTGGGGGGGAGTTACATTTTTTTTTCCTAAAAAGAAATGTGTGTTAGGGGCTAGAAATGACTCAGTGGTTAAGAACACTGGCTGCTCTTCCAGGGAACCTTGGTTCAATTCCTAATGGTAGCTTTCTACCTTCTGTAACTCCAGTTTCAGAGACTCCAACGTCCTCTTTTTTGTTGTTTTTTTCAAGACAGGGTTTTTCTATGTAGTCTGTGTAGCCTTGGCTGTCATGGAACTCACAGATTGACCTGCCTCTGCCTGGATTAAAGGTGTGTGCTACCACCTCGCAACTCAAGATGCCTTTGAGAGACACCCACAGTTCTGAACTCCATCAGTGCGGTATTTTCTCACCTGGTTGGTTACAGTACAATAAGAGTTTAAAAAGAAGGGACTTGGGGCTGGAGAGATGGCTCAGCCATTAAAGGCTAGGCTTTGGTTGTAACCAAAAAGAAGGGACTTGGGCTGTGTGAGAGCCAGTTACATTTTAAATTCTAATTACTATGCCTAAGAGATCCATGAAACAAAAAATGCCTCTGATCTGCAAGCCCCTTGCCCAAGGGCAGATAATTCCTGAAATACTGGAGGCTACTATTTATGTTTTCACTCTCCATAAACAAATTTGTCTGACCTATCCGCACCAGATGTGCTTGATCACATGTGGGCCAGAGGTTAACGGGCAGAAAACAGATCAGGATATGTGCTCGCCTGTGATTGGATGTTGTCTGAAGGTACAATTGTCCCTAATTGGACCTGATGGGAAATGCAGTGACTTATGGGTTTTCCTTCTTACGTCCTTGCCATCCTTGGTCTGGGCCATTTCCTGGGAACCTGGGTATGGGCCTGGCCAGAGCCCATCCACCTGGTCATAAAGCTTGCTTCAAATCTGGCTTCGAACTGTGGTCGTGGTCTTATTCTTGATCAGTGGGATTAACACCTGGAGAGGAGACTCGGTGGTTAAGAGCACTTGCTCTTGAGAGGACCAGGTTTGGTTGTCAGCACCCACTTTGGGAAGTTCTAGCTAGAGGACCTGGGCCTCTTCTGGCCTCCACAGGCACTTCATTCAGGTGCACATACAAGTGGTTCTTGAACCCCCTTGGGGGTTGCATATCAGATATTTACATTACATCAAAATTACAGTTATAAAGCAACAACCATAATTTTATGGTTAGGGGTCACCACATGAGAAACTAATAAAGGGTTGAATCATTAGGAGAGTTGAGAACCACTGATATATATATATATATATATATATATATATATATATATATATGCACAAAATTTTAAAAATAATGAAAAAATGAACTTAAAACAAGTCGTTTGCACCTTTCTGAATTTCACAGCATAATTAAACAGATGGGTGAATTATGTGAAGCAGAGTTTAGTTACAGGATAAACCCAAATCTGCATTCAGGTAGTGTTCTAGACTTAGATGTCCCTAACTGGAGTCTTCTAGAATCTGTTTTTAATTTGGTAGAGATTGGTTTTGTTTGAGACAGAGTCTCATGTATCCCAGGCTGGTCTCAAACTTGCTTTGTAGACAGTATTTTTTGATCCTCCTGCCTCCACACCCCATTTTCTGGGATGAGAGGTATGTGCCACTGTTCCCTGGTTTATGCAGTCCTGAGGAGCAAAGGCACCCTGTGAATGCTGAACAAGGCCTGTGCGGCACCCCAGCCCTTGCGGCAGGTGCTCGTGGGGCAGGTGTTGCTCTGCTGCTGCCACACTGTTATTAGTGTGTCTTTGTACAGTGCTTCTCTTTACCTTCTATTTCTGTGTGAAAGCTGGCTCAACTGGTCCTCGTACTAGCACAAGTGTGAAAGGGAGGTGCTGCCATAGCTCCAGGGATTGAACCTGACTGGGGTGTCAAGAGAATGAAGTGAAAACAAGCACACAGATACACAAAAAAGCTGGTTGTCTGGTGGACTGGAGTACTGAAACCTCAGTACTCCAAAAGCTCGGGGTGGCCAGGCAGTGATGGCTCATGCCTTTACTCCCAGCACTCAGCGGGCAGAGGCCAGCCTGGTTGGGCTACAGATCGAGTTCCAGGACAGGCTCCAAAGTTACAGAGAAACCCTGTCTCAAAAAACAAACAAGCTCAGGGTGTTTATTACATGCACTCCAATAGAAAAGCAGGGGTTTATGGTATACAGGGGGATTAAGGGGGCATGTTTAGCTAATCTTGGTAGGAACAGTCTTTTGAGGGGAGTAGTCTTCAAGCTGTAAATTCAGGGGGAACAGCTGTGGTGTGTACATTTTCCGTGCACACTATCAACATCTGTACTCAGACCCCCAAGGAAGGCTTTGACATCCATTCCCTTGACCTTCACCTGGACTGAAGAAATAAATAGCTTTGCCCAGGGGTCTATAGCTAGGACCCATGACAGCCATGTCAACAGCTCACATACACTCAGGGCTTTTCCATACCCTCCCTAGAGGACCTTCTCCAGGTTGCATAGCTCCCTCCTTTTTGGGTACAGTAATGACCCCCCCGACAGGGTGCCTCTGTAGCTTTGTGGTACACACCTTTAATCACAGTGACAGATTCTTTGTTGTTTTTTTGGTTTTTTTGAGGCAGGGTTTCTCTGTGTAGCTTTGGAGCCTGTCTTGGAACTCGATCTAGTAATAGTCTTAAAGAAGGTGGGAGATAAAGAGGTGGCTCAGCTGTTTGGAGCACTTGCTAATTCTTGTGAGGACTTGGAGTCTGTTCCCAGCATTTACATGGCAGAATACAGCAGTCTATTGACTCCTGTTCCAGTGGATTCAGTGGCCTCTATGGGCCCTGCAAGCATGTGTGCTAGTATATGCAGGCAAAATATTTATATAAAATTAAAAAATTAATGCCGGGTGTGGTGGCTCATACCTTTAATCCCAGCACTCAGGAGGCAGAGGCAGGAGAAATCCCTCTTGTTTTGAGGCCATCGAATTAGGTAGGTAGGTAGGTAGGTAGGTAGGTAGATAGATAGATAGATAGATAGATAGATAGATAGATAGATAGATAGATAGATAGATAGATAATCCTAAACAAAAGCAGCTGCCACAGAAGCTGGAGGCTAAAGCTCAGGGGTAGTAGACCTTGTTCAAACTGCTTGGTGTCTGAGTTCAGTCTTTAGCAATGGGGTAGCAGTCAGTCCTAGGTTCTCATAGGGTCTGATCTGCTTAGAAAGAGTCTGCGCTAGTCCTGGGCTCCCCTGGCTCCCTCATTTGCTACACAGAGGGATCCCCTGTTTTGAAATTTGCTTCCTAATGTGTCTGGGCCCCTGGGACTGACTTCACACCACCTCTCTCTCTGCTCTTCCAGTCCTCACATAGAATGTAATTGAAACTACAGCATGCCTCCAAGCACCCAAGTGATGGTTCACAACCATCTGTAATTATAATCCCAGAGGATCTGATGCCCTCTCAGTCCTCCACCAACACCAGGTGTGTACAGGCAGGCAAAATACTCAAGCACATTTTTAAAAGTTGTTTTAATTTTAAGAAAGATGATGAAAGATTTGTTAACAAAGGTTGGAACAAAGTAAACATTGTAATGACTAGTGGGCAGACAATAGTTAAATAGTAGATGTACAAAAAAACAACTATTACTTGTAGGCAAAGAGGGAAGGAAAAATAGAGTACGGAAAACACTTTGCAGTCACAGCTGAGTTCCTGACTCTTCCAAGAAGTCCATTTACCACAGGAACAGGAAATGCAGGCCTAATACAGGTAGAGAAACATTCCACCAAGTAGGGAGACATACAACACAATGACTTAGCTAGATGTCCTGTATTTTATGTCAGTTGGAAAGAGTTGCAGGCTAGGGTTCCAAAAGATCTTTAGAGGGGAGAACATGGGATGTAGCTGTTTCTGAGGATAGGGAGGTTAGCATCAAGGGGTCTTTCATGAATGAGAAAGGAGAGAAACAGGACACAGAAAGGAAGTGCCTGAATGTGTCTGTACTTGACAGCCTGGCATTGAACAGTAGGGCAAAGGAGAAATGGAGACTTCAAGGCTAGAGAGATGGCTCAGTTGTTAAGAGCATTGGCTGCTCTTCCAGGGGTCCAAAGTTCAATTCCCAGCAACCATATGGTGGCTCATAACTATCGCTAATGGGATCTGATAACCTCCTCCTGTCATGCAGGCATTCATGCAAATAGAGCACATATAGCTAAAATAAATCTTTTTTTAAAAATTCGGGTTTGGGACTTGAGCCAATTGCTAGGTACTAACTAGCTATTGAAAAGCATGTTTTTGTTTAGAAGTTAATCAAGTGATCCAAGTATAAATATTAATGAATTTAAATGTAACAACAAATGAAAAATGTGGAGACTGGTAACATTTCCTCTTTAACTGGAAGGATCCTCCAGTTTCTAAAAACAGTATTAGAAAATTTGATCCCAATAAAGATCACTTCTACTACGGATAAGAGTAAAATTTGGTCAGAGTAAAGCAATTTGCCCACAGCGCCACCAACAGTAAGTGACCAGGCTACAGAATTTTCCAACACGCAAGCCTCACCTAAAAAACAGTACTGCTTTCTGGAGTAACTGAAAAATTGCTGATAAACTTAGATTTATTCTGTATGACTCTGAAAACAAATGTACAGAAAACCTATTTTGGCTCATTCCAAGAGGGGGAGCGATCAAGTAATAATGTGCAAGTGCTAAGGGAAAGAAAACCATACAAGTAAAAGTAAGAGAGTGACGCAAACTCGAAATTGCAGCTGCTTCTGCTAATAAGAGCGTCAGTAGTACTGTTTTCAGTAGTTGTTTCCGCTCGAAATAGTCGGGGCCACGGAGAAGCACCATAGGTGTTTTCTGTACCTCTAGGTCAAGCTAGGAAGACCACGAAAGTGTGGCAGCACCGACTCTTCTCCGCTGCTTCCGTCGCTAGATCATGTTCGAAAGGCAGAGCTGAGAACACTACAAGTCCCATCGTGCCCCTCCAGCGGAGGTGGGCGGATCCCTGGTGCACGTGGGCGACCCTGACCAATAACGACTGTCGTTACAGCGAACAGTTTGGCCGCGTTTGTAAAAGGCTGCAGCAGGCAAAGAGAGACGCGGCGAGGGCGGTCGCCGGCGAGAAATCCCTGGAAGTGCGAGGCAGGTAAGGGAGTCCTGTGTGCGAGGCCGGGCAGTGGCCGGGCACGGCTGAGAGTGGCGGTCATGGTGGAAAATGTGTTCTGAGAACTGCGTGTCCGGATGGTTACATTTCTGCTGGGGCCTCACTTGGCATCGGAAGTGAGCGTTGTGCCGAGGATGCCGGGATGCAGGTCGCATGGGAAGTGCGTTTTGCAGCAGGATGGTCCCGGAAGCTGCGCTTAGGCTAGGTCCTAGCTTGACCTAGAGGTACAGAAAACACGTAAGCAACACACACAGTAGGACTGAGGTCCAGACTCCGTTCTTACAGCAACCGGCCTCGTTTCCCCACTCTCAGTAAATGTCTGCGGGCTTTGACGCTTCAGTCCAATCCGACAGTCTCATCCCTAAAATGGGTAAATAGCGCCTCCACAGATGCATTCAGTGGATGCGCGTGCTCCAGCAGTTCTGCTCACCTGGGGAGCGCTAAACGCGCCCCAAAACAGCGACCCCCACACCGACCAGCTCTGCGGCTGGGTGGCACCAGGGTGAAACCTACCTCGTTCTGTGTTCCCTGTTCATCCTCTTGCTAAGGAGAGACGACCATCCAGAGACCCTTCAGGTTCCCATCGCAGCTCCTTCACAAGTCGCGTTCCTTGTGTATCCTTTTAAGGCAGAATCTTCAAGCCGGGCTCGGTGGCGCTGCCTGTCATCCCAGCACTCGGGAGGCAGTGGCAAGAGGATCTCGAGTTCGAGGACACCTAGGCTAGGTAGCAGACCCCGTCGTCTTTATCGTCTCCCCCACCACCACCACCCAAAAAAAAAAAAAAAAAAAAAAAAAAAGAACTAGATGGGCGTGGTAGAGCACACCTTTACTTCCAGCACTCTACTGAGCCAGGCGGCGGATCTGAGTTTCAGGCTAGCCTGGTTTGGTAACCATGTCTTGGAAAGAAAAATAGGAAAAAGAAGAAAACTCTGCAACGAGTCATACTAGTACATGTTTTAAAATTCAAATAGTAAAAAATGAAATGTAAATCTCCATTTCTCAGGTCTCAAATCACTGCTGAGGCAATAGACATCTATACTGTGTCCTTTGTTTACTTATTTTTTGTAAACGTGTGTGTGTGTGTGTGTGTGTTCCCAGTGTGCTAAAGGGGTTGGATTCCCTGGAATTAGAGTTATAAGAAGTTGTGTGCTGCTGCGGTGCACACCTTTAGTCCCAGCACTCGGGAGGCAGAGGCAGGCGGATCTCTGTGAGTTCGAGACCAGCCTGGTCTACAAGAGCTAGTTCCAGGACAGCCTCCAAAGCCACAGAGAAACCCTGTTTCGAAAAAACAAAAAAAAAGAAGAAGTGGAAGTTGTGTGTCCCCTTGATGTGGATTCTGGCAGCTGAACTTGGGATCTCTAGTTTAACCATCTCTCCAGCCTACATGCCCCTATTAAAACAAAAATTAACACACTCAAGGCGCTTCACTTTTTACATTCCACAGCACGTGTTAATACGTGCTCTGTATGCAGATCTCACTTGTTTTTAGTGCCTTTACAATAGCATATTACCTGGTTACACTGTGCTTATTTTTTTACTGATATTCTCTTCCTATTGTACACTTAGGAAGTCTCACAGAGGAATCGTTGTGATTTGGAGACCAGCCTAGTCCACAAACCTAAAGACCAGCCCAGGACTACATAGTGAGACCCTATCTGAAAAAAAGGGAGGGGGTGCTGGAAAAATGTCCCAGTGGTTAAGAGTGCATACTGCTCTTGCAGGGCTTCTGGATTCAGTTCCCAGCACCCATGTCTGGTAGCTCAAAACCACCTGTATGCAGTTCCAGAGGTATCTGGCATCTGTCCTCCAGGAATGCCTGTACTCATGTACATAGCCTGACTCAGGCAGGCATATACGTTTAATGAAAAGTAAAAATGAGCTGGACGTTGGTGGCACACACCTTTAATCCCAACACTCAGGAGGCAGAGGCAGGTGTATCTCTGTGAGTTTGAGGCCAGCCTAGTCTACTGAGCCAATTCCAGGACAGACCCCAAAGTCACAGAGAAACCCTGTCCCAAAAGCCAAAAAAAGTAAAAATGAAAATAACTACAAATAATATCTTAGAAGTGAAATCACCAAAGCAAAAGTTTTTTTGTTTTTTTTTGTTTGTTTGTTTGTTTGTTTTGTTTTTTGCTTTTTCAAGACAGGGTTTCTATGTGGGTTTGGAGGCTGTCCTGGAACTAGCTCTTGTACACCAGGCAGGCCTCAAACTCACAGAGATCCACCTGCCTTTGCCTCCCAAGTGCTGGGATTAAAGGTGTGTGACACCACCGCCTGGTGTACATGAGTGTTTTGCCTGCATCTGTATACCACCACTCAGATGCCTGATACTCTCAGAAGTGAGACCAGGGCATTGGAATCCTTGGAATTGGGGTTAGAAATAGTTATGAGAGACCATGTGGGTCATGGTAACTGAACCCAGGCCCTCTGCAAGAAAAATAAGTACTATTGACCGCTGAACCTTCTCTCTAGCCGCCCCACCCCATTTTTCTTTTTCTTTTTTTCTTTTTTTCTTTTTGTTTTTGTTTTTACTAGACAGGGTTTCTCTGTATTGTTTTGGAGGCTGTCGGTCCAGACCGGGCTCGAACTCACAGAGATCCGCCTGCCTCTGCCTCCCAAGTGCTGGGATTAAAGGCGTTCACCACCACTGCCCGGCCCCATTTTTCTTAAAAGATTTATTTTTTATTTTATGTGCCTGAATGTTTGTGTGCATGTTTGTCTGTTCATCACTTTAGAGACCAGAAGAAATAATTAGACCTCCAGAGCTAAAGTTACAGGCAGTTCTGAGTAGCCATGTGGGTGCTGGGAATTGAACCCAGGATCTCTGATCTCTGCAAGAGCAACAAGTGTTCTTAACTACTGAGCCATCTCCTCTCTCTTTCTAATCCCTATAGCATTTGACTGTCCTCAAGCTCACAGAGATCTGTCTGCCTCTGCCTCCCAAGTAATGTGATTAAAGGCATGCACCACCACCAACCGGCCTCCCTCTTTTTTTTTTAAGGTAGTAATAGTTTTATTGATATGCTATATGCATATAATCAACCTTTTAAAAATATTAGAATTCAAGAGCTTTTGTAAATCTACAGAACTGAAAAACATTTCACAGAGCAGAGTTGTATAATATCTTTCATTATCCCTAAAGAAACCTGTGACAGTCAGACAGTGGTGGCATATACCTTTTATCCCAGCACTTGGGGGTCGGAGCCAGGCAGATTTCAATGAGTTTGAGGCCAACCTGGTCTACAAATCAAGTTCCAGGACAACCAGGTCTATTACACTGAGAACCCTGTCACGGAAAAACAAAAACAAAAGAGAAAAAGAGAAAAGAACCTTGTAACCATCACTACTAAATCCCTCCTCCTCCCAGGCCTGCACCTCTAGCCTCCTTCTTTCTGCCTTACATAATTTCTTGTCCTGGATGTTTCATTCATACAATGGATGGGCTTCTATAATTTAGCTCCTTTCATGTGGCATAATATTTCAAATGGCTAATCATGAGAAATCTTGCTCAACTTAAGTATTCAGTAGAGATTTGCAAATAAAACCACAGCACAATGCCGGGCGTTGGTGGCGCACGCCTTTAATCCCAGCACTCGGGAGGCAGAGGCAGGTGGATCTCTGTAAGTTCAAGACCAGCTTGGACTACCAAGGAGTTCCAGGACAGCCTCCAAAGCCACAGAGAAACCCTGTCTCAAAAAAAAAAAAACCAAAAAAAAAAAAAAAACCACAGCACAATACCATATGATGCCCACTACAAACTACAATCAGATGGCTATAATGAAGACTATGCAGAAGTAGAATCCTATGGTGCCTGTGGGAATATAATGGGTACAGCCCCTTTGGAAAGCAGGTTCTGAAAATATTAAATGTTCAGAGGAGATAGCCATGTTTACATATATGAAATATATAGTCCTATCACTTAGAAGACTGAGGCAAGAGGATTTTCAAGAGTTCGAGGCCTGCCTGGGCTACATAATAAGTTCCAGGTCACAAAGTAAAACCCTGTCTTAAAAAATAAAAGAAAGCAGGCGTTGGTGGCGCACGCCTTTAATCCCAGCACTCGGGAGGCAGAGGCAGGTGGATCTCTGTGAGTTCAAGGCCAGCCTGGTCTACAAGTGTGAGTTCCAGGACAGCCTCCAAAGCCACATAGGAACCCTGTCTGGAAAAATATATATAGATAAATAAATAAATGAAATAGTATATGGTACCCAATAAATACGTGCATGAGGGTCTATCTTGGGATAAAGCCAAGGGTCTTACACATGCTGAGCCAGTGCTCTGTCACTCAGGTGTACTAGCTCCAGCCCAGGAGAAGTTCATGTGAAAACATTTGACTACACAACTACCTGTCTTCCTGATCTCAGCACTATGGATTGTAGCCAAAAACTTGGGAATAAGCCAAGTGTCTGTTGACTGATGAGTAGATAAACAAACATGACTTACTAATACACTGAAATACTGCATTTAAAAAAAAGAAAGATTTTACAGGAATTAGAATAATAGCTCAGCAGTTAGGAGTGCTTGCTGCTTTTCAGAGGACCAGAGTTCTGTTCCCAGCACCCGCATCAAGCAGCCTCTTAACTGCATGTAACTCCAGCTCCTGAGGATCCTATACCCTCTCCTGGCCTCCACAGGCATCTGTATTCACATGTGTATATACTCATACAGATACACAGAAATAAATCTCTGAAAACGTCTTCAGTAGTTGGGTGTAGTAGTTCATGTCTTTAATGATTAAGTTAGTCCTAGCACCCAAGAAGCAGAGGGAGGTGAGTCTCATTAGTTACAGGCCAGTTTGGTCTACTAGTGAGTTTCAGACCAGCCAGAGATACATGGTGAGGCTCTCCCAGAAACAGAACAAAAAAATTGTTTTATTTATAAGCTAATACAAATATGCATGTACATGTGTGTTTGTGAATTTGTTTCTCCATGATTTAATGCATAATTGGCAGTATATTATACATTTTGATTTGCACCTAAATATTTTTTAAAGAATCACAAGCAGATTATTTTTTTCTTTTAATGAAAAAGCATTAAGGGGCAGAGAAGATGGTTCTTTTTTTTTTTTTTTTTTTTTGGTTTTTCGAGACAGGGTTTCTCTGTATTGTTTTGGAGGCTGTCCTGGAACTCACTTTGTAGACCAGGCTGGCCTCGAACTCACAGAGATCTGTCTGCCTCTGCCTCCCGAGTGCTGGGATTAAAGGCGTGCGCCACCAATGCCCGGCTGAGAAGATGGTTCTTATGGGAAAGTTCCTTTCTGACAATATGAGGACCTAAGTTCTGATCCGAAGAACCCACATACAGAGCCAGGCACGGAGGTGCATACTTGTAATCCCAGTGCTTGGGAAGCAGAGCCAAGAGGATCCCTGGGGTTTGCCTGCCAACCAGTCTAGACAAAATGGTGAATTCCAGGTTCAGTGAAAGACCCTGTCTCAAAAATTAAGATGTAAGGCTAGAGAAATAGCTTAGTGGGCCAGGCAGTGGTGGCACACGCCTTTAATCCCAGCACTCGGGAGGCAGAGGCAGGCGGTTCTCTGTGAGTTCCAGCCCGGGCTGGACCGACAGCCTCCAAAACAATACAGAGAAACCCTGTCTCGTAAAAACCAAAAAAAAAAAAAAAAAGAGTTGTTGTTCTTGCAGAGGACCAGGGTTCAGTTCCCAGAACCCACATGGTAGCTCACAATCATCTGTAACTCCAGGGGATCTGATGCACTCTTCTGAACTTCACACACACCAGGCATGTATGTGGTACACATACATACATGCAGGCAAAACAGTCATACACATCAATCTTTTTTTTTTTTCATACATATAATTCTTTTAAAAAAATACAGTAGACCAGATAGGGTGGTGCAGGCCTTTAATCCCAGCACCCAGGAGACAAAAGCAAGCAAATCTCTGGGAGTTCAGACCGCTCCAGGATAGCCAGGGCTACATATAGAGACCCTGTTTCAAAAACAGAAAGGAAGGAAGGGAGAGAAGGAGGGAAGCAATTGAGAAGGACACCCATTGTCTGAAACCTCTGGCCTCCTTATTTGGGACCACACATACAATTTGCACATACATCGGTGTGTTAGTCAAGTGTAGTCTCGAAGTGGTGGTGCATGCCTTTAATCCCAGCACTCAAGAGACAGAGGCAGGTAGATCTCTGTTAGTTCAAGGTCAGCCTGCTCTACAGGACAGCTAGGACTGTTATCCAGAGAAACCCTGTCTCAAAGAACAAAGAATTGAGTGTAGAAGTACATGCCTGTAATCCAGGCCAGCCGGGGTTATGTAGCAAGATCCTTCTCAAGAAAATAAAAAATAGTGTTGTTGGGCTTACAAAGCTGAGGAAGGAGGTCAGTGATGCCTGGCATCCACAAAGCCCTGGATTTGATTCCTCAGCACTGCATAAACTGGGCATTATGACACATACGGTAATCCCAGTATTTGTGAGTTGATGCTGAAGGACCAGAGGCTCAGAGTCATCATTGACCTCATAGGGAGTTTGAGGCCATCCTGGGATAATAAGACAGAGTCTCAAAAAAAGTGGTGGTGATGATGGGAAGATGGCAGCACACGCCTCTGACCCTAGCACTCGAGAGTTGGAGGCTGGAAGATGAGAAGTTCAGGGTCATCCTAGGCTACATAGAAGGCTAAGGGGGAGGTGCAGAGAGATGGAACAGTTAAGATCCCTTACTGCCCTTCCAGAGGACCCAGGTTTGGTTCCCAGCACCTACATTGTGGCTCACAACTATCCATACTCCAGTTCTAGGGGATTTGGTGCCTTCTGACTTCCAAAGGCACCAGGAATGCAATTGGTGCATAGATATACTTACAGGTCAAACAAACAAATACACATGAAAATAAATTTTAAAAAATTTTCAATGAGGCCGGGTGTTGGTGGCACACACCTTTAATCCCCAGCACTCAGGAGGCAGAAGCAGGTGGATCTCTGTGAGTTCAAAACCAGCCTGGTTTACAAGAGCTAGTTCCAGGACAGCCTCCAAAGCCACAGAGAAACCCTGTCTCAAAAAAATTTTTTTCAATGAAAAATAATAACAGAAGGCACTCACTATGTATTACCATTAGGGAGGATGAGTGTGACCAGTTCTATACTGTGACTGGTGATCCTGTCAGCCCTCTATTATGGCACTACTATTGCTGTATTACTTTTTTTGTTTGTTTGTTTGTTTGAGACAGGGTTTCTCTGTATTGTTTGGAGGCTGTCCTGGAATTCTCTGTAGACCAGGCTGGCCTCGAACTTACAGCGATCCACCTGCCTCTGCCTCCCAAGTGCTGGTATTAAAGGCGTGGGCCACCAGTGCCCGGCTGCTGTATTACTTTCATGTTAGAAGTTTAAAATGTTGCTGGGCAGTGGTGGCACACACATTTAACCCCAGCACTCGGGAGGCAGAGGCAGGCAGATCTGAGTTCGAGGCCAGCATGTGTTGTTCTGGCACTGAGGACTGGCCCCAGGACTTCCTGTAGGCTGGGCGCGTGCTGTGCTGCTGATCTCTCCCAGCCCCTCTTCTGCCTATCTCTAAGTGTAAAGATGGTCATGAGACAGCTGTCTTCTCTTGTTTTGCTTTAGGCTGCCAAGATCTCTACCTAGGGGAGCTGGAATCTGACTGGAACTCTGACTGGAACCCTGAGCAAGAGCTTTGCCAGGGAGAAGCAGAATGTCTGCATTGTTACATCAAAGATCAGCCTTCAGAAGCCTTAGGTCGAGTGGCATATCTCACAGCAAATGAGCATGCCTGTCTCTGTGTGGTCTGATCAGCACAGACTAATGAAAGATACTTTAGGTCCTATGGACACAGGCTCCACTGTTCTCCAGGTGCCCTGGCAGCAGATACAGGTAGGACTGGGAACGACTTGGTGGGGCTTCCAGGGACCAGTAGAAGAAAAGTAATCCATCTTTCCTGATCCTTTCCCTTTTTTAAAAATTAATTAATTAGCTAATTATTTATTTTGTGTGGTGTTCTGCCTGCATGTATGCCTGCAGGCCAGAAGAGGGCACCAGATCTCATTACAGATAGTTGAGAGTCACCATGTGGTTGCTGGTAATTGAACTCAGGACCTCTGGAAGAGCAGCTGGTGCTCTTAACCACTGAGCCATTTCCCCAGCCCCTGATCCTTTCTTATTGAGACAGGTTCTCATGTAGCCCAGGTTGGCCTTGAATTCCTTTGTGTCTGAGGATGACATTCATGTTCCTCTGGTCTTTACCACCTGAGTGCTGGTGTTACAGGCATGTACCACCATCTGCAATTTATGCAGTGCTGAAGCTGCGTTCTAGTGCCAACAGTGGGGAGGCTAAGGCAGGAGGATCTGTGAGAATTTGAGACTAGCCTAGGCTACTGTCTTAGTTAGGGTCACTATTTCTACAACAAAACATGACAGCCAAAAAGCAAATTGAAGGGGAAAGAGGTTTACCAGCATATTCTTCCATATCACTGTTCATCATTAAAAGAAGTCAGGGCAGGAACTCAAGCAGGGCAGGAACCTGGAGTCATGAGCTGGTACAGAGGCTGTGGAAGATGGCTGCTTACTGGCTTGCTCTGCTTGTTCAGCCTTCTTTCTTTCTTTCTTTCTTCTTTTTTTGGATTTTCCAGGCATACTTTTTGTGTTCCTTTGTGTAACAGCCTTGGATGTCTTGGAACTCGCTGTAGACTAGACTGGCCTGGAACTCACAGAGATCCGCCTGCCTCTGCCTTCTGAGTGCTGTGCCACCATGCCTGGCATCAGCCTGTTTTCTTATAGATCTCAGGACCACCAGACCAGGGATGGCATCACCCACAGTGAGCCAGACCCTCTCCCACCAATTCCTTAAGAAATTGCCTTACAGCCAGACATTATAAAGGCATTTCTCAATTGAGGGTCTCTCCTTTCAGGTCACTCTAGCTTGTATCAAGTGGAAATCATCCAACAGCCAGTCTGAGCTACAAAGTGAGACCCAATGTCAAAAATAAATAAATAGAAATCCCTCCCTCTCCTTTTCTCTTCTCTCAATGTTAACTTTATGTGAATGTGTTCTGCTGATAGTCTTGTCTTTCTAGGGGCTGTGAACAATGGAACCAAACTCTCAAAGGACTAAAGTCCCAGCTTTCTTATCTGACTTGGGGAAGGCCACATTGAGGGGAATCAGGAAATGTCCCCGATGTGGTACGTACAATGGAACCCGTGGGTTGAGCTGTAAGAACAAGACATGCGGAACCATATTTCGCTATGGTGCCCGGAAGCAGCCTAGTATTGAAGCTGTCAAAATTATCACAGGCTCTGATCTACAGGTCTACTCCGTTCGACAAAGAGACCGAGGCCCTGACTACCGATGCTTTGTGGAGCTGGGTGTTTCAGAGACGACAATCCAGACAGTGGATGGGACAATCATCACTCAGCTGAGCTCTGGCCGGTGTTATGTCCCCTCTTGTTTGAAAGCTGCCACTCAAGGCCTGGTGGAAAACCAGTGTCAGCACATCAAGCTAGCAGTAAACTGCCAGGCAGAGGCCACCCCTCTGACCCTGAAGAGTTCAGTGCTGAATGCTATGCAGGCCTCCCCAGAAACCAAACAGACCATCTGGCAGTTGGCCACAGAACCTACAGGTCCCCTGGTACAGAGAGTCACTAAAAACATCATGGTAGTGAAATGCAAGGCCAGCCAGAAGCACAGCCTGGGCTATTTGCACACGTCCTTCATGCAGAAAATGGGCTCCAGAAGCTTGCCAGAGCGTCGCTTCTTCTGCTCCTGCCAGTCTCTGAAGTCACACAAGCCCAACGTCCCCAAGGCTGAGGCAACCCCAAAGTGCATCCATTTCTTCGCTTGCCTCTGTGCCTTTGCCAGTGATGAAACACTGGCTCAGGAATTCTCGGACTTCCTAAATTTTGATGCCAGTGGTAGGTGGAAAGATTGATTGTTCTTGGTTGTTCTGACATGGCAGTGAAGGTGTTCCACAGATGCCTTTGGAACTTGTCCTAATAACCCTTCAGTTCCAGTGCTACATAGTATAGAAGAAAAGCACTGTGTGTGTGTGTGTGTGTGTGTATGTGTGTGTGTGTGTGTGTGTGTGTGTGAGAGAGAGAGAGAGAGAGAGAGAGAGAGAGAGAGAGAGAGAGAGAGAGAGAGGTGTCAACAAAACCATAATGTTAGACAGGCAGTGGTGGCAGCACAGGCCTTTAATCCCAGCACTTAAGAGGCAGAGGCAGGCGGATCTCTGTGAGTTTGAGACCAGCCTGGTCTGGCCAGCAAGTTCCAGGGTAGCCAGCACTACCCAGAGAAACTTTGTCTTGAAAACACCCCCTTAGGGCGGTGGTGGCGCATGCCTTTAATCCCAGCACTCAGAAGGCCGAGGCAGGCATATCTCTGTGAGTTTGAGACCAGCCTGGTCTACAAGAGCTAGTTCCAGGACAGCCTCCAAAGCTACAGAGAAACCCTGTCTTCAAAACAAAAGCAAACCTGTCTCAAAAACCAAAAAAAAAAAAAAAAGAAGAAAAGAAAAAGAAAAAAAACACCCCTTCAAAATAAATAAAACATAGTGTTTTGCTAAAGTAATCCAGCTGCCCTCAAATTTAATCCTCTTGCCTCTCCTACACTCCTACATGCTGGGATAATAGGCCAGAGCCACCACTCATGGCTAGCATTCCTTCTTTAAATTCCAGCCAGCATAAAGAGAGACGAACATTTTTATTGAGACGATGGATTTAGCTGTGTGTGTGTGTGTGTGTGTGTGTGTGTGTGTGTGTGTGTGTGTGTGTGTGTGTGTGTGTGTGTGTGTGTGTGTGTGTACTGGATAGAGCACAGTATTTGGGAGAGTTCTTTGAGTCTTATTTACATTAAGCAACTGGTCTATCCTTGGTTTTCTGGAGTCAGATTTTTATAGGCTACTTTTTCTTTGGTTAGGGGCCCATGTTTTCTCTTGGATAGTAGTAGTAATTCAGAAACTTTTTTTAAAGGTCTTAAAGAGGTAATGGTCCCTCAGTTAGGCTGCCACTCAGAGTCATCTGTCTCAGCTTGTGAATCTGCTGCCTCTAAGCCACGGAAGAGGAAGAAGGATGAAGTATCTGGTGAGACAGTTTCACTTATTTCTTTGGTGTTTGGAAATTGTCTTTTGTCTGTCATTGACTCCAAGGAATTGTGAGAAAGGACTCTTGTTCTTTTTTTTTGTTTTGTAGTTTTATTTTTGTTTTTGGAGACAAGGTTTATCTGTGTAGCCCTGACTGTCCTATAACTTGCTTTGTAGACCAGGCTGCCCTTAAACACAGAGATCCAGCTGCCTCTGCCTTCTGTCCTGGGATTAAAGTTGTGTGCCACCAACACCCTGCTTAGGACTATTGTTCAGAACAAGTTATTTTTTTTAAGTATGGGCCAGGCCTGGTGCTCCATTCCAGCAGCAGAGCTAGGTCGGTCTCTTGAGTTTGAGGACAGCCTGATCTACCTAAAAAGTTATAAGCCAACCAAAACAAAATAACAAGAGTGTTCCACTATGTAAGTCAAATAAATAAATATCAAAAAACTATTCATAGCCGGGCAGTGGTGGCACACGCCTTTAATCCCAGCACTCGGGAGGCAGAGGCAGGTGGATCTCTGTGAGTTCAAGGCCAGGCTGGACCGACAGCCTCCAAAACAATACAGAGAAACCCTGTCTCGTAAAAAACCAAAAAAAAAAAAAAAAAAAAAGACTATTCATAGAGAAGAAAATGGAGAACTCAACAGAAAGTATGATGGTTATGAGAAAGGTAAAAACAGTGTGTAAATTCCCTCATTCTACTTCTGTTTTCAGGCCCTGTCTCTCATAAACATCAGAAAAAGTTAAGATTTTGTGGTTAAAGGTTGATACTGGTTCCTTCTAGAAACTATAAAGCTATTCTAGATATTAGCAAAGACTTTGTTTTAGATGCTTTAGAAATCATTTTATCAAATCATTTTTTATAATTTTATAGAATTTAAAACTTTTATGTATATCTTGCCCATGTGTATACACATACATGTATGTATGTTTTTGCACTGTGTATGTATCTGGTACTTGAGGAAGCCAGAGAATATGAGTATCTTGGAACTGAAATCAAGAGGTATGAGCCACCATGTGGCTGCTGGGAACTAAACCCAGCCCCTCTGCAAGAGCAGCTAGTGCTCTTAACTGCTGACCCATTTCTCTAGCTCCAGGTTTGTAGACTTGTTTTAAGATTCTTTTGTCTGGGCTGGAGAGGTAGCTCAGTGTAATTTCTCTTGCTATCAAGCCTGAAAACCTGAGTAATTGAGTCAATCCCTGGGACTCACATGATGGAGAGAGATAATTAACTCCCCAAAATTATCCTCTGACCTCCACATGTGCCACATGACACACCCATACATACACACATACAAAAATAAATAAAATGTTGAGGGCTGGATTGATGGCTCAGCAGTTAAGAGCACTGGATACTCTGGAAGAGGACCCAGGGTCAATTCCCAAGCACCCACATGGCAGCTCACAACTGTCTGTAACTCCAGTTCCAAGGGATCTGGCATCCTCACACAGTTATATATACATAAAATAAAAATAAATAATTAAAAATCAATTAAAAATGTAATAATAAAATTACTTTTTCTGTGTGTGTGTGTGTGTGTGTGTGTGTGTGTGTGTGTGTGTGTGTGTGTGTTTTCTTTGGTGAAGGCTGGTTCTCTCCTTCCACTGTGTGGGTTCCAGGAATTGAACTCAGATCTTTAGGCTTGACAACATGTACCTTTCTCCATTGAGCCATCTTGCTAACCTGCAGACTTTGACTGGAAAGTAGTAGGCTGGGACTGACATTTTTGAGGCAGGGTCTCAAATAGCTGAGTCTTAACTTTGAACTTACTGTGTAGCTGAGATGACCTTTAACTTCTTATTCTCCTGCCTCTGCCTCCCAAGTACTAAGATTACATATCTGGCTGTAGAAATGATATCATGGTTTTTTGTTTGTTTGCTTGGTTGGTTGGTTGGTTGGTTGGTTGGTTGGTTGGTTCGATGCAGGGTTTCTCTGTATTAGTTTTGGTTTTTGGTGTTTGGTTTTTGGAGACAGGGTTTCTCAGTGGCTTTGGAGGCTGTCCTGGAACTCGCTCTGTAGACCAGGCTGGTCTTAAACTACAGAGATCTGCCTGCCTCTGCTTCCCCAGTGTTGAGATTAAAGATGTATGCCACCAACGCCCGGCTGATGTCATGTTTTAGTTTGGTTTGGTTTTTGGTTGCAGTTTGGTTTTTTGAGACAGGGTTTCTGTGTAGCCCTGGCTGTCCTGAAACTATCTCTGTAGACCATGCTGCCTGCCTCTGCCTCTGGAGTACTGGGATTAAAGGCATAAGCCACTGCTGCTTGACTTTGTTTTGTTTTTTTGAGACAAGATCTCCCAGATCAACTGGGCGTTGGTGGCGCATGCCTTTAATCCTAGCACTTGGGAGGCAGAGGCAGGCGGATCTCTGTGAGTTCGAGGCCAGCCTGGTCTACTGAGCGAGTTCCAGGACAGCCTTCAAAACAATACAGAGAAACCCTGTCTCGAAAAACCAAAAAAAAAAAAAAAGATCTCCCAGATCCCAGGCTAGCCTTGCAGTGGAGGATGACCTTGACTTTATTCTCCTGCCTCCACTTCCTGATTGCTGGGATTACAGGCTTATGCCACCACCCTCATGGGGCACAGAGGCTCAATCCAGGATTTGGTGCATGTTAGACATGTACTCCACCAGCTGAGTTGCATCCTATTCCCTAGGCATGTGTGTAAAGTACTGTTAACTACTGTTAACCTATTTGTGATCTAGGTGCTCAGATGAACAGCTCAGTGATGCCGCAAGACACAGTAAACAGCATTGTAAGGAAGAGTGCCCTGAAAAAGCCTGTGGTTGCTTCTTCACTAAAAAGGCAGGGTAAGTTTCCCTTCCTAGAAAGGGCTTCACAGGTGGGAAACCATCCAGAGGTAATCTGAAGGAATAATCAAAGAAATGTTTTATGTTGTATCACTAACGTAAACAACAGCAGTGGATAGAGTCACAGAAGCTGAGGATCAAATCATGCTCAAAACTATGTTAGGCTGGGAAGATGGCCCAACAGTTGAAAGAGTATTTGCTGTTCTGTCATGAGTTTGGATCCCAGCACTGTCTTGAGCAGTTCACAAACACCTGTAACTCCAGCTCCAAGGGATATGTCTTCTAGTCTTGGATAAACACATACACACAAAAATAAAACAATCTTAGTGCTAAAGAGATTGGCTCAATGGTTTAAAGCTCTTTCAGAGTAACTGGGTTCAATTCCCAGCACCTACTTCAAGCAGCTCACAACTGTAACTCAGTATGTAGTCCAAGCTGGTTCTGAACTTGTGCTTCAACTTCAAAAGTAATTCCAGCTCCAGGGGATTCAGCATCTTCTCTGGCCTCCAAGAGCACTGAGTAGGCATATGGTGCATATACATACCATGTAAAAAAGAAATCTCTAAGGTTGGGGGCTTAGTAGGGGAATGGGAGGATGGAAGGGAGAGGGAAAGGGGGATTGATTTGTAAAATGATTGTTTCTAAATAAAAAAGGGGGGAAAGAAAAAAAAGATTGGGGACCAAGCCCTTATCCCCCTAAAAAATCTCTAAATTTATTATTTTATTATTTATTTGGTCTATATACACCTGTTATTTTGCCTGCATATATGTCTGTGTACCTGCATTCAGGTACAAGGGCTATTGGATCCCCCTAAGAACTGGAATTACAGACAGTTGTGAGCTATAGTGTGTAGTGTGCGTGCTGGGGATCGAACCCAGCTCCTTTGGAAGAGCAGCTAGTGCTTCTGACTGCTGAGCATTGAATGAAGAAAGAAGGAAAGAAGAAAGGAAAGAAAGAAAGAAGGAAAGATGTAGAGGTGTGCTTCTGCAATCCCAGTACTCAGGAAACAGAGACAGAAGTATCGTCACAGTTAAAAGCCAACCTGGTTTGCACACTGAGTTCCAGGCCAGGCAGGATTGCATGCCTGGCCTGGAACATACTTTAAAGACTCAAGATGAAATAATATTATAATAATAATAGTAACAACAACAGTAAGCCCATAATCCTAGAGACAGAATGAATTAGTGCTTACCAGGGTTAGTAGACAGGTGTTCTACCATGGAAGTGTTTTTTGTCTTGACTGTGGCTGAACTAGGATGGAATGCAGAGCTGTCTGCACCCACCTCACAAGTGTATGGAAAGCTGGTGAAGGCAAAAGAGGCCATTAGGTTGTGTCCATGTCATTTTCTTTAGTGAGTATTTATTCTGTACATTTTAAAATGTTACTCTGGGGAGTCTAGGTGAAAGGTATACAAACTCTTGCTGTCTTGCTGTTTTAAGTTTTGAGACTGGGTCTCACTGTGTAGCTCAGTGTGCCTTCAAACTGCCTTAGCCTCCTGAGTACTTGGGTTATAGGTGCACACTCTCACACCCAGGGAAGCTTTGTATTCCCTACAACTGTAAGGATAGACAGTTATATAACAAAATTGTATATATTCATTTAAAGAAAAAACCTTAAAATTACTGAAAACAATTTTGTTTTTTGAGACAGAATTGCTCTGGGTAGCCCGGGCTGTCCTAGAATTCACTCTGTAGACCAGGCTGCAGCAAGTTTTTTTGTCGGCCAACAGCTCACAAATAATGACACAGAAACTTATTATTAATTATGAAAACTCGGTGTTCAGCTTAGGCTTGAACTAGCCCTTATTACTTAACCCATTTATATTAATCTATGTTCTGTCATGTCTTGTATTTCCGGTTTCCTCTTCCTGCCTGACTGGCAACTCCACCTTTCTTCTTCCCAGAGTTCTCTCTGCCCAAGAGCCCCATCTCTACCTCCTGCCTGGCTACTGGCCATTCAGTTCTTTATTACACCAATCACAGCAATACACCTTCACACAGTGTACAGACATCCCACGTTAGGCTGACCTCAAACTCAGTTATTTAATACTCTGCCTCCCAAGTGCTGGGATTAAAGGCATATGCCACCACCACCCATGGAAAACAGAATTTTTCAAGCTCTAAGTTATCTCTGTGTGTGTGTGTGTGTGTGTGTGTGTGTGTGTGTGTGTGTGTGTGTTGTGTGTGTGTGTGTGTGTGTGTGTTGTAAAGGATTAAATCAGGACCTCAGGCATGCTAGGCATGTGTACTCACACTGAGCCCCACATATTCCAGCTCTTTTTTTGTTTGTTTTGTTTTGTTTTATTTTTTCAAGACAGGGCAGGGTTTCTCTGTATTGTTTTGGAGGCTGTCCTGGAACTCGCTAGGTAGACCAGGTTGGTCTCCAACTCACAGAGATCCGCCTGCCTCTGCCTCCCAAGTGCTGGGATTAAAGATGTGCACCACCACACTTAGTTGTGTAGCCACGAATAGCCCTGAACTCTTGCTTGTCCTTCCTCTACTTCCCAAATGCTATCATTATAGGCATATTATCACACTTCTGGCATCTGTACCAGTCTTAGTAGAAGACAAATAGCTTCATTACTGAATTTGTATTATACAAATGCACAATGCATACTCAGAAATGGGAGTAATTTCTGTAAGAGGGATCTCTTGGAACTGAGTGTGAGCCACCTGATGTAAATGCTGAGGTCAACAAGTGTTCTCAGCTGCTAAACCATCTTTCTAGTCTGTGGTTAACGTCTTTTTTTTTTTTTAAGATTTTATTTATTTAGTATGTATATAGTGTATCCCTGCAGGCCAGAAGAGGGCACCAGATCTCATTACAGATGGTTGTGAGCCACCATATGGGTTGCTGGGAATTGAACTCAGGATCTCTGGAAGACTAGCCAATGCTCTTAAACTCTAAGCTATCTCTCCACCTCTGGTTAATGTCTTTTTTTTTTTTTTTATGGTTTTTCGAGACAGGGTTTCTCTGTGGCTTTGGAGGCTGTCCTGGTCTCGAACTCACAGAGATCCGCCTGCCTCTGCCTCCCGAGTGCTGGGATTAAAGGCGTGCGCCACCAACGCCTGGCTCTGGTTAATGTCTTAAATGTGTTAGTCTTGAGGGCTTTCATTCATTTTTGCAAATGAATTTACTTTTTGTTCTTTTGAGACAGGGTCTCTTATAACATAGTCTGGCCTCAAACTTGCTATATAGCCCAGGTGTGCCTGAAATTTACCATTCTCCTGCCTCTATCTCACAAGTGCTAGGATTACAGGGATATACCACCATGCCCAGTGTAAATGGATTTTTTTTTAAGATGTTTTTTATGGGACTGGAGAGATGGCTCAGCAGTTAAGATCACTTGCTACTCTTATAGAAGACCCAAGTTCAGTTCCCAGAATTTACATTGAGTAGCTCACAAGCTCGTATAACTCCAGTTTCAGGTTATTCAATGGTCTTGCTGGTCTCAGAGGACACTGCATGCACAAGATACATATACATATTTGTAGGTACCCTTGTATACACATAAATAAAAAATATTTTTTTTAAAGTCTGGGGGTTAGGGCCAGGTGCTTGTGGCACACGCCTTTAATTCCAGCACTCGGGAGGTAGAGGCAGGCAGATCTCTATGAGTTGGAGGCCTGCCTGGTCTACAAAGCTACACATAGAAAACCTGTCTGGAAACAACAACAAAAGAGTCTAGGGGCTGGAAAGATGGCTCAAAGGTTAAGAGCACTCCCTGGATGCTCTTCCAGAGGCCCTAAGTTCAATTCCCAGCAACCACATGGTGGTTCACAACCATCTTAGTGGGATGATGCCCCCCTTGTCATAAAGTCAATAGAGCACTCATATGCATAAAATAAATCTTTAAAAAAACAAGCCTATTATCACAGTGGACATCATAAAAATGTATAGTTTTTATATAAGTAAAAAGAAAAAGTCCTGGAACCTATTTCACTTAGTTTATTTTCTCTGTATCTAATTTTTATGTTTTCCCCCCATATAAATTACTTGACTATTTCAAGCTTCAGTTAATTATTATTTGTAAGAAAAGTAAAGTTAATAAAAAAAAAAGTTAATGTGTTTTTTTTTTCTTTTTCTAGTCTGTGGTCAGCTGTTAGATGAGGCACAAGTGACCTTGTCCTTCCAAGATTGGCTGGCGAGTGTCACGGAGCGCATCCATCAAACCATGCACTACCAGTTTGATGGTGAGTGTGCTGGAGGGCGGGAGCATCAAAGCGATGTGCAACAATTCCACTCTGATTTGTAGGAGCAATAAGTGAGCACAGTCACGAGAAAGTAAGAGACGGGCTGGGTGTGGCAGTACGGGGGGGGGGTTGCCGGAGTTACAAAGTGAGACTTGTTTTGTTGTTTTAAAGAAGAGCGGAATACAGGTATGGCTTAATGTCAGAGCATGTGTTGTGCATACACAAGTCTCTGCGTTCAGTCCCCAGTACTAAGAAGAAAAATGAGCTAGCCAGATAGCTCAGTGGTAAAAGCATTTGCTGCCAAGTCTGACAACATGAGTTTGACCCCCGGGGCCCACGAGGTAGAAGGAGAGAACCAACTCCCACAAGTTGTTCTCTGACCTCTACATATGCACTGTGGCAACATGTCCTCTCCTCCCCCACAAATAAGTAAATGTATACGAAAACACAAACAAGCAAAAGAAGAAGAAAGTAGACATCAAAATTGAAAGAACTAAACAATTGTTGTTAAATAATTATCATTATTGGAGTATAGAAACAACAGAATGAATTGAGATAGAAGAAAAAAATAGCAGATAAAAACCTTGGTCTGCCTGGGTCTTTGTTTTTGTCTTTGTGTCTTGTGGGGCAGGTGCCAATATTTTAGATGTATTGTAAATCAAATCAGGGAGAGGATGGCTCAAAGAATGCCAAACTGTGAAAACCAGCATAGTTGTATCAAGTACATAGGCTAAAGAAGGCTGGGGCACACAGGCTGGATGAGAGTGTGATGCTGAACCCCGTGAAGTCAATGGAAGCCAGTCATTCGTGTTTGCCCACTGCCTTGAGCACATTCTAGCTGGATGCTGTGGCGGTTCTTCATTGTCACCTTGACCAGAAACACACCACGAGTTCGTGTGAGGAAGACAACGCAGAGATTTTAACTCAATGAGTGATGCCATCCCTTGAGTTATGAACAAGAAGCACAGGACCGGCATTCGTCTTTCTGCTTTCTGACTTTGGTTGTGACGGGGAACAGCCACCTCACACTCCTGTTGTCCATAGCTAGAATCTCTCTTGCCACCATGACTTCCCCACTGTGACGAACCCATACCCTTACATTGTGAGCTCAAACAAGCCCTTTCTTCCTTAAGCTGCTTTCATTGGTGTTTGCTCCTAATGTAGGCTTCCTGGATTAGTCAGGTGATGAAGAGCTCCATGCTTCTTGAGGCATTTGAACTAATTGATCCCCAGAACCCACCTAGAACACTGGATTACATGGTGTGAACTGTTAATCCCAATGCTAAGAGGGTGGCCAGCCACTCTAGCCTAATTGACAAGTCTCAAGTCTCAGGCCTTTTTTTTTTTTTTTTTTTTTTGGTTTTTCGAGACAGGGTTTCTCTGTAGCTTTGGAGGCTGTCCTGGAACTCACTTTGTAGACCAGGCTGGCCTCGAACTCACAGAGATCCGCCTGCCTCTGCCTCCCAAGTGCTGGAATTAAAGGCATGTACCACCAACGCCAGGCTACTCTCAGGTCTTAATGAGAAACCCTGTCTCCAAAATTCCAGTTATGGGGAGGAGGAACAGGAACAGTGAGATGACTTACCTACTGCCAAGCCTAATGACCTGAGTTTAACCTCTGGGATTTAATAGTAGACAGAGAGAATTGAATTCTGCAAGTTATCTTCAACACACATACCCCACACATGGGCACCATAGCCTACATGTACACACACACACACACACACACACACACACACACACACACACACACTTTCTCTCCCTAAAGTAAAAAAACTCAGGACTAAAGTGATGGTTTCACACTTAAGAACACTTACTGGTCTTACAAAGGATCTGAGTTCACTGCCCAGCACCCATGTGTTAGCCCCAGATCCCCAATTCTGCCTTCTTCTAACTATATACACAGTGCATATATAAATACACAGTCAAAACACTCATATACATAAAATAAATCTTTAAAAATGTTTTAATGATGTGGCCGGGCATTGGTGGTGCATGCCCTTAATCCCAGTACTCAGGAGGCAGAGGCAGGTGGATCTCTGAGTTTGAGACCAGCCTGATCTACATAGTGAGTTCCAGGACAGCCTCCAAAGCCACAGAGAAACCCTGTCTCAAAAAAAAATGTAAAACGTAAAATAAATAGATGAATTTAAAAAAATTAATGAGCAAAACCACATAGACAACAGAGACAGGAATATAGTCTTGAAATTCATCTCTGGCCTCTACACATTTGCATACAAGTATACATGCACCTGCACACATGAACGCATACACACATCTGTATACATCAAGCACTGAGTTTTGACATCGAATTCTACAGTCAATAAAAGTAGACAAGCCAGGCGATGGTGACACATACCTTTAGTCCAGCACTTGGAGGCAGAGGCTGGTGGATCTCTGTGAGTTCCAGGACAGCCAGGGCTACACAGAGAAACCTTGCCTTGAAAAAGCATAAAAGATAAAACAAAAAAAGGCAAAAGTGAGTACAAAGTATTTCTATTCTAATTCATCCTTCATTTTTATTTACTTGTTTGGGGCTTATGTGTTTTATTCTGTGTGTGTGTGTGTGTGTGTGTGTGTGTGTGTGTGTGTGTGTGTGTGTGTGTGTTCGGGTGTGCGTGTGTGCGTGCACATGCAGTTGCCCACAGAGGCCAGGAGACAGTGTCAGGCTCCCTAGATCTGGAGTTAGAGATAGTTGTGAGCCACCTGACACTGGTGTTAGGAACCAAGCTCCAATCCTGTGGAAGAGCAGCAAGTGTAGAAGCGCATCTCTAGCTCCCTTCTTTATCTTTTTGGGTTTTGTTTTTGAGAGCTATATAGCCCAGAGTGGTGGCAAACTCACAATCCTGCCTCAGTCTCTAAAATGCTGGAATTATAGTGCCCCACCTTGCCTAACTCACTGTAATATATTTTTTAACTTTAGAAAAGAATTTAGATCTATTTGAATGGTGAGTTTGCCCACATGTATGTATGTATGTGCACCACACGCGTGCCCTGGTGTCTGAAGGTCAGATGAAGTAGTCAGACTCCCTGAAACTGGAGTTATGGATGACTGTGAGCCACCATATGAGTGCTAGGAACCAAACCTGGATCTTCTGCAAGAGCAGCAAGTGCTCTTAACTGATGTACTAACTCTTCAAGTCAACTGGAGTCTTTCTCTCAGCACCAGGTGTGGTGGCACACCCTGTAATTCTAGTACTCATGGGACAGAGAAAGGAGGTTCACTACAGGTTTGAGGTCAGCCTGATCTACATAGTGAGTAAATTCAAATTGTGCCTGTACTATAGAGTGAGACCATGTCTAAAAAATGGCTTTCTCAGCCAGGTGTGGTGGCACATGCTTTTAATCCCAGCACTCTGGAGGCAGAGGCAGAGGCAGGTGTGTCTCTGAGAGTTTGAGGCCAGCCTGGTCTACAAAACAAGTTCTAGGATAGCCAGAGCTATGCAGAGAAACCCTGTCTCAAAAACAAAACGAAAGTCTTTCTCTCCGGTGAATTCAGGTGAGCCACAGTTCTGTAAGATTATTACACCCAATTTTGTGGGGAGAGGGGCACGTTCATGTCATGCCAATGTGTCAGTCAGAAGACGGCTTGCAGGAGTTGGTTCTCTCCACCATGTGGGTTTCAGGTTCAGGAACTCAGGTTATCAGGCTTAATGGTAGACGCCCTTACGCACTGAACTGTCCCCAGCCCACATCAGGTGCTTTTGATTACTGCCCCTCCATTCCTTTTCTTTTCCCTCTCCTTACACATCAAGAAAACAACCAGGTTTCTTTAAATGACATCCTTCTTTTTTCTGCAGGCAAACCAGAACCCCTCGTGTTCCACATCCCTCAGTCCTTTTTCGATGCCTTGCAACAGAGAATATCCATAGGAAGTGCAAAAAAGCGGCTCCCCAACTCCACCACAGGTGCGGAGTCTCCCTGGGAAGAGCAGTAGCAATTGTGACCTTGGAGAACTATGTGTGGAAAAATCTACATGGGACTTTCAGGGTTAGCAAGTCTGGGTACATTACTGGAGTATGAATTTTGTGAATTAGCTCTTAGAACAGTGACCAACCCTCCAAAAAACAGATACTGTTCCCAGGGAGGATGAATGGAAATTCATTCATAAATGACTAGCAAAGACTGTTTGATACTTCTAGGTGTGAATAGTTTCCACAAAAGCATCTGAAGGCCCAGAGGCCAAAACCTAAAGGTACAGTCATAAATATGTCATCGGTATGCAAATGGAACTGGAATTCCACTCTCTCAGACACGATTGCTTCCCAGCATCTTTGAGAGCATTTTGTGTCAAACTAACAGAACTCCAGGGGGGACCTTTCCAAAAACTTTGGTCTGGAGGAAGCAGTTCCAGTAGTATTCTGCTGGGCGTTGGTGGCACACGCCTTTAATCCCAAGACTCCAGGCAGAGGCAGGCGAATCTCTGTTAGTTGAAGGCCAGCCTGGTCTACAGAGTGAGTTCCAGGACAAGTTCTGAAGAGAAACCCTGTCTTGAAAGACCAAAATAAAGAAAAGTGAGAGAGAGGTTTATTTTGGCTCAGTCTTGATGAGGAATTCATGCAGCAGGAGGAGATAGCTGGTCACATGGCATCCACCAGAAAGAGAAACATGAACACTGGTTCTCTGCTTGCTCTCTCCTGTTCATTCTCTCTAGGACTAACCCATAGAGTGGTACCATTCGATTTAGATGTGGTCTTCCCACCTCTGTTAATCTATAACTCCCTGAAAAGCATACTCAGAGGTTTGTTTCCATGGTGATTTTCAGTACCATCAAGGTGACAATATTAACACTTAAGACCACCTGTTGGTAATTTGACACCAAGCACATCACTATAAACTTTGACATTCATCTCTAGTTCCCGTGGGTACATGGCTGTCTCATAATACAAAATATATTCAGTTCAACATCGTAAGTTCACATAGGCTCTATCATTTCCAGTGGGTCTCATCTAAGACTGGTCAGTCTTAATTGTGAACACCTATAAAATGGGAACCATGTAATGAACAATAACAGAATAAGCATCCCTGTGGAATGAGGCATACCCATTTGGGCACACCCCAAAATGGAAGAATTGAGGCATTGAGGCATAGCAAGGAATAATTGGATCAAAGCAAGACGAAGACCCATCAGGGCAACACCTAGTCCTATACTTTCATCTTGGGCATGTGGAGCTCCAAAGGGCCTGGGGAGCCCCACCTCTCCAGCTCTGTTGTCACTCTCCTGAGCCAGCTTTACTCCATGTCTGCAGCTTTCTGCCACAAATGTTCCATGATCCTGCTGTCTTCCACATCCTGGGTTCTCAATTGCAATTGGGCTTTACCTTTACTCAGTAGCCTCTCAGGAACACCAACCATGCCAACTTTGCCTTCAGTGGCTCTCAAGAACCATGGCACAAGACTTCTTCCATCTTTCATCTTTAATACCTGCAAAACCTATATTTTGTGGACATTGCTGCCAACTTACGATGGGCCTGGCCTCCTTCAACCACAGTTGCAGTGGCTGTTGTGTGCTGACTCTGGAGGAACACTTCCTAGGCAGTTGTTCTGAGAGAGCCCTTTCCATTGCATCCCCAATTTAGACTATTCTTTCTAGTGGATTTGCACTTTCACAAGATGGAGGCTTTGATATGTGGAGTCTTGCCCTCAAGACCCCTTTCCAGTTGTCACAATGCCGAGTGCCATGTTTCTTTTTAATGGCTCTAACGTAAGTTACAGCTGCTTTCAATCCTGCACTGTCTCTAATATTAAACTTCTTACTCATGCTCTTTTTTCTTGACAAACTGCACATTTTTCCGTATATTCTCTGCTCTTTTTTTGTTCTCTCTCCCTGGGGACCTGAATAAGCAGTGAGCCAAAGCCATGATGTCTAGTCTTATTGCCATCCTGTCTTGCATTAACTAGTAATCCATTCCTTTTGAATCCAGCCTCACTCAAGCTCTCAGGACACAGGCAAAATGTAGCCAGTTTCTTTGCTTGAATATAACATGAATGCCTAACTGACCTAGTTCCTGACAAAGTCCTCATTCCTCTGAAAGCATGAGCCAGACGTATGTTGGCACTCTGGTCTCCCACACTCCTCACCAGAATGGCCCATTGAGCACTACTATAACTCTCTAGGACTTCTGTAGCCCACAGAGCCAAATTCTTCCATATTCTTCCAACAAACCAATTCCAGAGGCCTATGAACCTCACAGTCAGATTTATCAGATCAACAGCCCTGATTTTTTTTTTTTTTTTTTTTTTTGGATACAGGGTTTCTCTTTAGCTTTGGAGGCTGTCCTGTAGGTTACTCTGTAGACCAGGCTGGACTCGAACTCACAGAGATCCACCTACCTCTGCCTCCTGAGTGCTGGGATTAAAGGCGTGCGCCACCAACGCCCGGCAGATCCCAGCCACTCTCTTATAAAGAAAAACGTTAAATTGAGGGCTTGCTAACAGTTTCAGAAATTTAGTTCATTGTCATCATGGTGGGACATGATTTGCAGGCAGACATGGTGTTAGAGAAGGATCTGAGAGTTCTTTTTTTTTTTTTACTTCATTTATTTATTTATTTATTTATTTATTTATTTATTTATTTATTTATTTATATGTGTTCAGTATTCTGCTTGCATGTATTCCTGCACACCAGAAGAGGGGACCAGATCTCATTATATATGATTGTTAGCCTCCTTGTGGTTGCTGGGAATTGAACTCAGGACCTCTAAAAGAACAGTCAGTGCTCTTAGCCTCTGAGCCATCTCTCCAGCCCTGGCTGAGAGTTCTACATCTTGAACCACAGGTGGCAGAAGGAGTCTGTGTCCACACTGGTTTAGCTTGAGCATAGGAGACCTCCAAGCCTGCACCTACAGTCACACACTTTCTCCAACAGGGCCACACCTTCTAATAGTGCCATTCCCTATGCCCGGCATGATGGCACTTGCTTTTAATCTCAGCACTTAAAAGACAGATGCAGGTAGATCTCCAGGAGAGTGAGGCCAACCTGATTTACATAATGAGTTACAAGATAGTCAAGAATACATAGGGAAACCATATCTCAAAAGTCACCAACAAGCCAGGTTGTGATGGCACACAGCTTTAATCCCAGCACTCAGGAGGCAGAGGCAGGCAGATCTCTGTGAGTTAGAGGCCAGCCTGGTCTACAGACCAAATTCCAGGACAGGCTCCAAAGCTACAGAGAGAAACCCTGTCTCGAAAAACAAACAAACAAACAAAAAACTACAAACAAAAGATTAAACACCACAAAATTTTAAAAAACACTCCTAAGCTTTGAAAACGGGGTAGTTTATTTTTAGAGTAACTTTTTAAAAATAGAGGGGCTGGCCAGGTGATGGTGGCGCACGCCTTTAATCCCAGCACTCAGGAGGCAGAGGCAGGCAGATCTCTCTGAGTTCGAGGCCAGGCTGGACCAACAGCCTCCAAAACAATACAGAGAAACCCTGTCTCGTAAAAACAACAACAACAAAAAAAAAAAAATAGAGGGGCTGAGCAGTGATGGTGATGCCTTTAATCCCAGCACTCGGGAGGCAGAGGCAGGCGGACCTCTGTGAGTTCGAGACCAGCCTGGTCTACAGAGGGAGTTCCAGGAAAACATCCAAAGCCACAAAGAAACTCTGTCTCAAAAAAAGCAAATTAATTAATTAATTAATTTAAAAAAAAAAGAGAAAACATGGGGGAGAAAGAACCACCAGGTAGCCAATAGCCAAAAGTGATTACAACCAGACAGCAAGTTGTTATTCAGTAAGTCCATTTTGAATAGTGCAAGCTGTGAATTCACGATATATTGAGGCCCAAAGACCTTCATCCTCATAGCTTATCTGTCTGATTTTAATGTCCTCAAACCAGAGGCCTCACATCCAGTCATGTTAATCCCTCAGCTGTGCTGTGGGCCCTCTGGTGGAGCCGCTTTGATCCCACGTGCAGGTGGTGGGTAGGCAGTCATGTGTGACTCCTTAAAGGACTGTGGTTTGACCCATTATATCTCACGTAAGAGGTTTGCAGAATGGAGTCCCATACACATAGCTGTACTAGATGTAGGAACAGTAGTGCAGAGGCCTGTGTTCATCCTCGCACTACAGAAAAGAAACTGTGAACAGGTTCCTAAGGTCTAAAAGTGAGCATGTTGAAGAAGCCTCAGAGACTTCTGTAGTGGAGGTCCTTATGGTTGGTCAGTATCTGCCAAAGTGTCACCCACCTGCAGAACAAGTAGATCTTCAGATCTGTGAGAATGGCTGTACTACAGTGAGAGAGGCACTGAGCAGTAAGTACACTGAGAGGATGTTGCTGTCTGGTATTGAAGTTTGTCCTTCCTTTTCATTTCAGCTTTTGTTCGCAAAGATGCCTTGCCACTGGGAACCTTTTCCAAGTACACCTGGCATATCACTAATATTCTGCAAGTTAAACAAATTTTAGACACCCCAGAGGTAAGAGTTTTTTCCTCAGGAGCCGCGCGTGTGTGTGTGTGTGTGTGTGTGTGTGTGTGTGTGTGTGTGTGTGTGTGTGTGTGTGTCTGCCTGTCTGTCTGTGTGTGTGTGTGTGTGCGCGCGCGCGCGTGCGTGCGTATAGGTTCACATGCACATTTGTGGATGTGGAGGATAAAGGTGCTGTCCTGGGACGTTAGGTGTCTTTCTTTTCTTTTTCTTCCTTTTTTTTTAATTGTTTTTTCAAGATCCGGTTTCCCTGTGCTGGGATTCAAGTTGTGCGCCACTACCACCTGGCAAGAGACATGGTCTTTCATTGCCTTGAAGCTCAACCAATTCAGTCAGACTAGTTGCCCAGCAAGCCCCAGGGACCTACCTGTCTCCTGTCCTACCTTGTGTTTGAATTTAAGTGTCTTTGGCCTTGAGCTCACCAAGTAGGTTAGGCTGGCTGGCCTGTGAGCGCCCAGGTTCCATGTGTCTCTATGTTTCCAGCACTGAAATTACAAACAAGTCCCACCACACCTGACTTTCTATAGACAGACCCGAAACTCAGGTCCTTCTGCTTATGTGCCAAGTGCTTCACTAACTGAGCATCTTTCCAGCTCTTAAAGTTCCTTTTTATATGTTAAGAGATTATTTAGACATTGTCTGTATAGTTCTGAGTCCAGCTGCTAGGTATTCATGCTTTAGAAAGTAACTTAAAGGACCAGTGAGTTTGACCTTCAGTATGATACCCAGCACCATATAAAAAGGGGTGGTGGTAACACTTTCAGTCCCAGCACTAAGATGGAAGCAGGAAAGTCAAGGGTTCAAAGGCATCCTCAGCTGCATATCAAGTTAGAGGCCAGCCTCAGCTATATGAGACCATATGAAAAAGGACACTACTGGCTTTGGGGTCAGAAAGCAGGGTTTGGTGGCGCATGCCTTTGATCCAAGTACTCGGGAGTCAGAGGCCAGCCTGGTCTACATGGTAAGTTCTAAACCAGCCCAAGCTACCAAGTGAGACCCTGTCTCCAAAAAAGAAACACGCGGGAACAGGATTTTTCCTTATGAATTAATTCATGATATGCTGATATCTATTAAGACCCTAGAATTCTCTGGTTGGCACTGGAACAGATATCAATAATATTTGTAAAGTAACTGTGTCCAGGGTAATTAAACTCTCCTCCCCAAACTGTAATTTACCTGCTGCCTATTATTCTCTTTTTTACATTTACTTGCTGATTTATTTGTTTATTTGTTTCTTTGGAGTGTGTATGTACATGTAGAGGTAGCAGGGGATTGAATTCAGGTTGTCACCATTACCAATTCAGCCATCGCACAGCCCCTACAGTGTACATTTTAAAATACTTTGTTGAAACAGATCTGAAATTTTGACAGATTTTTCCCTTCCAACAAATTAGACTGTTTCAAAAAAAATTCAACATAGTGTGACTATGAAAGATGAAGGTTAATTTACCCAGGCTTAGTAACTCACACTTACAGTTCCAGTACTTTGGAAGGCAAAGGCAGAAATCTATATAGTTCTAGGACTACATAGTGAGACTGTCTCAAAAACCAAACACAAAAAGATTAGATTAGCGACGGGTGGTGGTGGTGCATGCCTTTAGTCCCAGCACTTGGGCAGGTGGATCTCTGTGAGTTTGAGACCAGCCTGGTCTACAAGAGCTAGTTCCAGGACAGTCTCCAAATCCACAGAGAAACCCTGTCTCCAAAAACAAAAGAAAACCAAAAAAAAAAAAAAAAAAGATTAGATTAGATTAGCAGCAAAGCATCATTGTGTTCAGAAGTAAGGTTTTGGTGGCTGCAGTTTATGTCTGAGCCCTAGAGTAGCACTGACGACATTTGGCAGTGGCATTAGGGTGGCACCAAAGACCCTGAGGCCACCTGAGGGACAAGAGGGCTGCTGCCTGGGCACCTGTTTCTGAGTGTCCTTTGCTGTCTGGCCCATCCTCCATCCACGTGACACTGATATTTACTGTGGTTTTTTCCCTAAGAAGTCACTGGTTTGCTCAGGGTCATTCTCTAGTTGGGTGACTGAATCCCAAGGACAGTGAAGTACCAGGATGTGAGATGAATTTCAGGTGCCCACAGAGTATTAGGAACAGATGCTGCCTGTGGGGGGAATAGAGGGCCAGCAGTCACTGAGTGTGGATATGATGGGTTCAGCCACACATGCTTTGCCTGAGATGCAAGTGAGAGAAAACCACAGTTGATGTAAGGAAAGACACAGATGTGACGGCAGGACTTACTTAAATACCAAAGAAGAGAGGGTATGATGGCTCAGTACATGAGAGCACTAACTCTGCAAGCACAAGGACCCAAGTTCAAATCCTCAGCACCCATGTTTAAAAAAAAAGAAAAGTGGGCCGGGTGTTGGTGGTGCACGCCTTTAATCCCAGCACTCGGGAGGCAGAGGCAGGTGGATCTCTGTGAGTTCGAGACCAGCCTGGACTACCAAGCGAGTTCCAGGACAGCCTCCAAAGCCACAGAGAAACCCTGTCTCGAAAAACCAAAAAAAAAAAAAGAATACAAAATAAGATCTGCAAAAGAATGTACAAAAGAAAGTTTATTGATTTCCCTGCACTTAAAATAAAGAGTATCGCCGGGCGTTGGTGGCGCACGCCTTTAATCCCAGCACTCAGGAGGTGGAGGCAGAGGCAGGCGGATCTCTGTAAGTTCAAGACCAGCCTGGACTACCAAGCCAGTTCCAGGATAGCCTCCAAAGCCACAGAGAAACCCTGTCTCGAAAAACCAAATAAATAAATAAATAAATAAATAAATAAATAAAGAGTATCATGGGCTAGAGAGATGGCTCAGAGGTTAAAAGCACTGAGTGTGCTTCCAGGAGACCCAGGTTCAGCTCTCAGCACCCACATGGCCACTCAAAACTGCCATGTAACTATAACTGTAACTCCAGCTCCAGACAATCAATCCAACAATCTTCCTTCTGTTTCTTCGGGTACCCACACACATGGGCAGCATACATACATACTGTCAGATCCCAAACAAGCCTGGGACAAGTCTAACTCAGTACCTCGCCTCCATGCTAAACTCCAGCCTAGGGGCTGGGCTCCCCTTCTCCCAGCTTCTCTTTCCTATATAACTCAGCCATCTTGACTACACACTGTCTTGGTTCTGCTCTTGGCTCTCTTAATTACCATGTGCTCCTTGGTATCCTTGCACCCTGTCCCCTACTTTTCTCGTCTTCTCTCGCTCTCCACATTCTCTTTCCATGGCCTGGTTCAGTCTGGACTCTTACAGATATCTCTGGCTGTTCTCTCCCTCATATCTACAATAAAACCTTTCTCAACCATATCCACAGTCATGTCCTCATTTCCATTCACACACATATACTACAGAAATAATAACATTGATATTTCTTAAAGATTTATTTATTATGTATACAATGTTCTTGCCTGCATGTATGCCTGGACACCAGAAGAGGGCATCAGATCTCATTCTAGATGGTTGTGAGCCACTATGACGTTGCTGGGAATTGAACTCAGGACCTCTGGGAGAGCAGCCAGTGCTCTTAACCTCTGAGCCATCTCTCCAGCCCAACATTGATATTTTTAACAGATAAAAAACCCATGAGACCTAATGGCACCCAAGATGCAATTATGTCAAGTTTTCTATGTCTCCTTTTCTTATCTGTCTCCATGTCCAGATGCCCCTGGAAATCACTCGTAGCTTTATTCAGAACCGCGATGGGACTTATGAGCTGTTCAAATGCCCTAAAGTGGAAGTAGAGAGCATAGCGGAAACCTACGGACGGGTAGAGAAGCAGCCAGTGCTGAGACCTTTGGAGCTGAAAACCTTCCTCAAAGTTGGTAAGTGACTCTCAGAATCATCTCGCCCTTGAGGGTCACCTGTTCTCAGTGTTGTCAGAAGCTCTGGGTCTCCTCAGTCAAAGAACATGCGCTCATTTTATAAGAACCTGAGAGAAGGCTTTCATTTCTTTGGAGCTGGTGATTTCTGAACAGCAGCTGGCATACGCAAGCCATGAACAGATTATGAAAGAAGCAGTGAGCCCCTGCAGCCCTCCTTCCTCACGGCAGCATCATAGTTATTTTCAGTAAATACCACCCCCCCACACTTGTCTCACTGTGTAGCCCTGACTGGTCTGAAACTCAGCATGTAGACTGAATGAAAAGAAGAAAAAGGGAAGGGCATGATTGCTGCTAGCTATGGTGGAGGAGAAGGTTTATTGTAGATAAAGGGGAGAGCATAACCAGAGGCAGGGACAGAGTCCAGAGTGAACATGACCCTGAGCTCGGCTGTGTGGGGGAGCCAGGAGAGTAAAGGGTAGAAAAGGGCTGGGTAATTAAAATGGCTGGATTATATAGGGAAGGGCACCTGAGGGAGGAGCAGCCCAGCCCCTGGGCTGGAGAAGGTTAGGTAAGGGGTGGGTATGCTGGCCATGCTCTGCAATAGGTCGCAACCAGGAGATGCTAGGGGAACCTGGCAGCCAGGTTCTGTTTGATATGTTAAATAGGCACCTCAGCCATTTTTCCCACGCTTGAGACCTAATAGAGACCAGGCTGGCTTTGAACTCAGAGCACCCTGCCTAACTCTGCCTCCCAGTGCTCAGATTAAAGGTGTGATACCATGTCTGGCTAGACTATTCTTTCATCAGAAGTTTCTGAAACATGGACTCATACCTAAGCTGCTTTTTCCCATGATCTTATACCACTCTCCAAATGTACACTCAATATTAGTTTTCAGTTTTTTCTTTATGTATGTGTTTTATGTACATGTGTGCACATGTATGTGGAGACTAGAGGAATCAGTTCACTCCAGTAGGTTCTGGGCATTGAACTCAAGGCATCTGACTTAGTGGAAAGTACCTTTACCTGCTGAGTCATCTTGATGGCCCTTCCAAAAACATGTTTTGTATTATATTAAATATTGAGGGCCAACGTTTAATATAAGAAACTTGTACTCCACGCAGTAGTGGCGCACGCCTTTAATCCCAGCACTCGGAGGCAGAGGCAGATGGATCTCTGTAAGTTCAAGGCCAGCCTGGTCTCCAGAGCATGAGTTCCAGGACAGCCAGGGCTACACAGAGAGATCATGTTTCAAAATCACCTGTTCCCCCCACTCCCAAAAAAAGAAGGAAACTTTGACTAAGCCAGATGTGTGACTTTAAAAAGGGCAGAGATTGGGGCTGCTTATTCCCTGGTTTGACACAAGTTCCAGCTGGGCACAAATGGGAGGGATAGGGTTTCTTCCTTCATTCCCACACAGCTACCATTTGTGAATAAGTGTGTTGATAACAGAGCCCTTGGGGCGCCCTCTACCTACCATTCAATGCCATCTGTCATATGCTAACCCCCAGATGCTACCAGTCAACTTGTAGTCTTCCTGGTGAACTTCCAGTATTTCTACTTAACTGACATTTAAGTGAGGTCACAGCAGACGGTACCTGAGGCACAGAGCTTTGCAACCCCATGTCATAAGCCTCATGGGAGTGGCTCTTTCCTGGCCATTGTGAGAAGGGAGAGCTGACACAGTGAAGGGATAGGGCTCAGAAAGCCTGCGTGTTTTGGAATAAAATGAAGAGTGAAGTTCATAAAATGTTTTTAGCTTATGGGGACAGAACGCGTTACTGCTAGGGTCTTTTGTCTTTTTACATTTACATATGTTTAAAGGTTTATTTGTTTATGTGTTCAGTTGCCATCAGAAGTTCGTTCCCTCGGAGGTGGCATTGTAAGGTGATTGAGAGCCAACCAATGTGGCTACTTGGAAACAGGTCCTTTGCAAATGCAGCAAGCACTGCTAATCACAGAACCACCTCTTCTGCCCCTATTTAAAGGCTTTAACAACTTTTTACTTTTTCTCCTGAAAGGCTTCCTGTTTTGTTTGCCTTCTGCAGAGTGGACTTGAACTGCAATTCCACATGCCTCAGCCTCCCAAGAGCTGGGGCTGCTGGCATATGCAGTGCCCAGCTAAACTCTTCCATCTTTATCTGAAAAAAGGAAGTCAGTTCATTTCATATCCCGCTGTCAGTCTAGCCTGCAATACCAATAAAACCCAAATATTGTTAATTTTCTGGTTACAGTGTGTCTGTGTGTGCATGCATGCACGTGCATGACAGTGGAGGAGTTGTGTGTGCCACAGCTCGTATATGGAATTCAGAGGACAGCTTTATTGAGCTGGTTCTTTCCATCCAGCTTCATGTGGGTTCAGGACATTAAATTCAGGTTGCCAGGCCTGTGTCCCAAGTGCCCTTACACTGAACCATCTCCCCAGTCTAGACCAAAGAGGAATTGTATACTACAGTGAGCCAGTCTAGACCTAAGAATTATTATATACTGCACAGTATGAGGACATCCTGGGCTCCAGTAAGACCCTGTCTCAAAAACAAAGGAATAGTCTTTATGAAAGTCACGTGGACCATACTAATTAGCTTCCTTTTTTCCCCTCTGTAGGTAACACGTCCCCAGATCAAAAGGAGCCGACACCCTTTATCATTGAGTGGATCCCGGACATCCTCCCACAATCCAAGATTGGTGAGCTTCGAATCAAGTTTGAGTATGGTCACCACCGGAATGGACATGTGGCTGACTACCAAGACCCAAGGCCACCCCTGGACCAGCCTTTGGAGCTGGCCCCTCTGACCACTATCACTTTCCCTTGAGGAAAATCAAGAGTTATTTTGCAGAGTTTGCACATCCCCACCCCTGACCACTGTAAATCCTAGGAGCACTTAATATGGTCCCTGCTAATGAACTGCACTTAGCTAAGATGCAGCTGCTGAGCATCCATGTGGGCTCTGTAAAAGAAACTCCTGTGTGTAGCCTGTTGGCACTGCTGTGTAGTCTTCATTATAAACTGGGCACTTAAAACAACAGTGTGGGTCGTCAGTATTCTCGTGGATTCACCTGCAGCTCATTTTTCTGTAACTCTCTTAAGTCAGCAGCGTTGGACCTTAGCCAACAGTGTGAAAAAGTTAATGATGCCCTGGGCAGAACAGAATGCAAAGGATCTGCCTGACAGCTCCAATACTCTATCCTGAGGACAAATAAAGTACAGTGTCATAGTGTTTCCAAATGGTACCATTGCTGCTGTGACTTCACAATTAGAAACCTTTGGGTGAACTTACTTTGTAGTCACTTAGGGATCAGCAACACGCAATTCACTTTTTTTCCTTCAAAATCTTGAGCAGCTGAGCACTTAGGAGGCAGAGGTAGTGCCAATCTGTGTGGCTTTGAGGCCAACCTGGTCTATACATCATGAGTCCCAGTACAGCCAGAGCTACATAGTGAGAACCTATTTGAAAAAAACAAAGAAGAGCCAGGTTGTGGTGATAAGTGTCCTTAATCCCAGCACTCAGGAGGCAGACACAGAGTTCCAGGACAGGCTAGAGAGAAACCCTGTTTCAAAAATACAAACAAAAAAAACACCATCTAATAAAAGTTCAAAATCTAGTTCTGGGTTCACTCATCACATAATGCAGATGGTGGATGAAGTGGGGACTTCCTTTCTAGGAGGAGAGGAAACATTTCCTACACGCCTGCCATGACTTCTGATACTCCCGTCATTCTCTTTGTCTTCATTTTTCTCTGGAGTAGGCATTACTCCTTCCCGAAAAGTTAAACAGCCTCCTGAAGCTATAGATCTGGCTTTATACACTACTAAAATGATGTTTAGTTTATTTCTATGTATATTTTCTACCTGAAATATCATTGGTTATGAAGTTTTTTTCTCTCTCATATTTTGCTTGCGTGTGTGTATGAGCACCACTTGGGTACCTAGTGCCCTGGGTAATCAAAAGAGGTTGTTGAAGCACCTGCAACTGGAATAGGCTCTGAAAACCCTGATCCTCTGAAGAGTACCCAATATTCTTAACTGCTGAATCCAGCCCCTTGATAATGAATGCATTACAGTTCATTGTCTTTCAACAGCTGGAAACCAAAAGTAGATCTGATAGCTCTCTTCCAAATATAAATGACAGAAACCCAGCTCCAACCTGCTTAGGAAAAGAAGAAAAGGAACTGTTTTTATGGAGATAATGCAGGACAATCCAACTTGTGACTGTGGGGTGTGGCCAGGTTTGTCAGGCTATCTCCATTGGAGCTTAAATTGGGGCAGGCAGGCCAGTGGTTCTAGTATTACAACTCCCACAGTAAAAGTTGCTGCACGGTAGACTATCAAACGCCAGTGTTTATGGGACTCACTCAGGGATCTTAGCTGAAATGCCACATGATAAGTACCAGGCCAGCTGAGGTGAAACCCTGCCTTAAAAGCGAAAGTATATCTGAATTCTAAGCTCCAGGGGAAAGGTCCAAGACCCACATCTCTAGGAGATATCCAGACACTGCATGAAATGTCTTGTGAAAGACTACATTTCAAAAGACAAGGTCGGTTCCTGACGAGGTGGATGCGGGACCTCTGTCTCCTACCTTCCCTGCTCCGACTTGGAGGTGGGGGCCAAGCAGCCATGGCTGCAGCCTGGCCTGTGCTCCTGTGAACAACTCTACAAATGGACTAGTAACAAAATCAACGTCTGAGTCCCAATTCCTCGTCTGCATAGAGAAACAGCATCACGGAGGAAACCGCTCATATTGCCAGAGATGGTACTTTCTGTTCCTTCCTAGGCTGAGCATGACTACACAGTCCTGTCTTCATGTTTCCTGGTCCTCAAAACTTCCCATGACTCGCAGCGCGACGCGGTCAAGCCGTATCAGAAAACCAAGTGAATCAGGGCATGAAGCCACGCTTCCGCCTACACTGACACAGAGGAGGCCAGCGCAGCACGCGGTCCTGCGGCCCCGCGAGATGACGCCACGGCGCTGCCGACTCGCGTAGCCTCCAGCCACACCGCCGGGCCCTCCCGCCAGGCGGCGCTGCAAGTCAATCGCCCGCCTCCTTGTGCGCAGCCGCGCTGGCGCTCAGGACACGTCACCACCTTCGCGTCCTTTCTGGAGAGCGCGGGAAGGAAGGCGCTGCGGGCGGTGACGTCACCGGGGTTCCCCGCGAAGCTCTGCGGGCGGGGCTGGGGACGTGGCGCCCGCGATCTCGGAGCTGAAGGGAGGAGACGAGTGGGGGGGGGATGGGTAAGGAAGACGGGCCTAGGGGAGTGGAAAGGACCGTGGGGGACAGGGGAGCGTGTGGAAGTGGTAAGAGAGGAAGAAACTGGGGTGAGGAGAGGGGCTCGAGACGGGGAGAGGTGAGAAGAGAAAGTGGGGATATCGGAGAGAGAGGGAAGGAAGGAAGTGTGGAGGCGAGGGGGAGGACGGAAGAGTTGGGGGCGAGGATAAAAGGCCTTGAGAAGGAGAGTGGAAGAGAGGAAGAAGTCCTGTACCCCCTCTTACTCCACAGGCTCAGTCCTGAGGCTTCCAAGGTGCGTCCGTGGCCCCTTCCTGCTGTGGACTTTAAGACAGCGCAGCCACTTCCGGCCTCCTATAACCGGAGGACCACCTCAGGACCAAGGCACGGTTTAGGTTCTGGCCATCAGGTACTAGTGGCCTTGAGCAGGGCGACGGGCACCTGAGACTTGACTTTGCATCGGTACCTCACAGACTTGGTAGTCCAGTGTTTTCTGTCATTCCCCAACCTAACCAAATGAAGGAAGGCTTTGTGTTCCTGTGCCATCAAGACTGTTAGCAGAACCTTCTCCTCCCACTCCTGTAAGCCCCAAGTCTTCCTGGTGGGATCTGCTCAGAACTCAAAGTGGGTACCAGAGTTTACCCTAACATCAACCTAATTCCTTATCCCTGGGGGCACAGCACACACAAGTGGCCTTGAGACACCCTTTCTGCCCTCCCAGAGTGCCCACCTTTTATGACAGTGCCAAGGTATTACTGGGAGAACGGCCTTTCCCCCGGCGACAAGCCAGCCCTGGGTAGCTTGAGCAAGTTTGGGCAGGCAGGGTCACACAGGACTGTCTCCTGAAAGGTGTTATAAGGCAACTGTTCCTCACATTCCCTGACTTTAGAAAGTCAGAAGGTGAGACACTGGTCTGGTGACCACCCTCTTAACTAGGGAAAGTGGGTTCCCTCTCAGCGGGGACATAATTGAGCTGTGGTCTTGGGGACTTCTGTTGATGTCTTCCCTAGGGTGCGTACCCAGGACCTCGTGTGGGTGTGAGTTAGCTGTGACCTTCGCCATGCGTTCTCTCTCGGACACTCTTGTCATGTTTATTAGTACAAGACCACTTTTGTGTTTCGGATGAAAGACAGCTTTTGAGGTTAAGAGGGGAAAAAACGGGAAGCAGCCCTCTTTGCTGGTGGCCCACCTGCTACTCCTACAAACCCACAGTGCCTATGAGAGGCACTCTGCCCCATGCTCTGAGAACAGCAGCCTGTACATAGGTCTTGCTGGAGATAAGAGAAAACTACAGACTTAATGTTGGGTTCACACACTTATTAGATTTTCCCCCAGTTGTCTGGTTTTTGAGGCAGGGTCTCACTATATAGTCCAAGCTAGCCTCAGACTCAGTATCCTGCCTGAGCCCTCCTAGTGCTGGGGTTGCAGGTATGCAGTGTCCTGACTTCCCCCTCGTGGAGAACTTGGTAGAAGTGTGGGGCGGAGCAGAGAACACCCCAGGATAAGGCAGACAGTGAAGGGGTATGTGTTTTGTAATGGTTCTTTGTAGCCATCCCAAGCTTTACAAGCAGAGGCTCCTTGTCATGTCCAGGGGCTTTCTGAGCCTGGTGGATAGAACCTGTGTAGATGGGAAGAGACCTTTCCTTCTGCCTTTGCTGGGAAAGCAGCAATTCCTACCCTGAATGGACCACCCTGAGACCTGCAGGCACAGGCCCTCAGCAACAGACTATCGAGGGTTTGAGCAGCAGTATGTACCTGGATATTCATTTGTGTCAGAAACTGCCTTGGGAGAGTTGGGGATGTAGCTCAGCTGGCCCCTTAGTGAGTGTGGTGCCCCAAGCCTGTAATCCCAAAGTTCAGGAGGCAGAGGCAGGAGGATCAGACTCTTCAAGGTCTGCCCCAGCTATTTAGGCCTGGGCTAGAGGCAACCCTGCTTCAAAAAAATAAAAAGGACTGGAGAGATGACTGGGCAGTTAAGAACATTGGCTGCTCTTGCATAGGACTTGAATTCGGTCCCCAAAATGCATATGATGACTCACAACCATCTGCATCTTCAGTTCCCTCTCCTGACCTTCATGGGCTCTAGGCCCACATGTGGTGCAGACATAAATGCAAACAAACACTCGTACACACATAAAGTATTCTTTTCAAATACTAGCCGGGTGTGAGTGGCGCATGCCTTTAATTCCAGCACTCCGAGGCAGAGGCAGGCGGATCACTGTGAGTTTGAGGCCAGCCTGGTCTACAGAGCGAGTTCCAGGACAACCTCTAAAACAATACAGAGAAATTCTGTCTCGGAAAAAAAAAAAACTAAAAAAGGAACCATGAGGAACTAAAAAGGGTTTTTCCTAAGAACAGCAGGAAGTCCTGCCAGGGCCCGTGCTGACATTACCTAACCAGGTCTCTACCACAGGGACCTGGATGAAATAATGTCCTTGGCCTGGTGGCTCCTGTGGCAAGAAAGAGGAGCTCCAGTCCACTGTCCTCAGTATGGCAGCAGCTGCCAGTGTTTAGTTTACACACCCTTAGTTCTGTGAACGTACTTTCTTACCTTGGACAAGCATGAATGGATCAGGGCCACATCCGGGCCCCTCAAATCAGCTGGCTGGGGAGCTATGGGAAAGGGCAGAGAGGGAAAGCAAGAAGCCTCCCAGGGCAAGCTAAGCAGAGTCTACTGTCCGCCTCTTGCAGACACTTTAAGGAAAGGGGTATCAGGACAAGGCAGAGTAGGAAATTCTAGATGAAGGCACGGGATGGCTCCTCTGTGTCGGGGAGGGGAGCTGCCTGGGGAGGAGTTGCAGATGGATACAGTATCTGGAGGGTGGAAAGGAACTGTTACCGCCCACACCGGGAAAGCTGCCACTGGAACTGATACAGACCTGTGGTCATCTGAGCTCTAGGCTGCTGAGTGCATGGAAAGGCATGACTGTAGCGGGAAAGGGAAGTACTAGTTCCAGAGCGAGAGGAAGCATGGTCCTCATTGAGCTATTTGTGCAGCTGTTATTAACTGTTTGGCATTGGGCTGGGCTTTGGTTAGAAAGCTCTGTTCCCAAAATGTGTCTGTCCTTGTGGGACTGAATGTGAGGTGAGGTGCAGCGTGTCAGACATTGACAGTGCTATTGAGAAAGTCAAGTACCGTGGGGAGCAGGAGGAAGTGTAGAGCCGGTTCCCTCTCTGTTGTTTTTAAAGCAGGATGTGGGCCTTATTGGTGGGCAGGACACAAACAGCAGCACAGGGAAGCCCTCAGTCTCTTTCTTATCCAGGTAGTTGTGATCAGAGATCTGTTTGATTACCCACTTCTCAGCCACCGTGGTTTCAAAGTAAGCTGGGAATGGCAGCTCATGACTGATCTCAGTGCTCTGGAGGCTGGGGCAGGAATACTGAGTTTGAGGTCAGCCTAGGCAACAAAGAAGAGGACAAAGGACTGTAGCTCAGTTGGTAAGAGTGTTTGCTTAGTATACACAAAGCCCTGGGTTAGACTCCCAGCACTCCATAATCCTTACCCAGTGGCACACACCTGTGATCCCCACACTGAGAAGGTAGAATCAGAAGGATCAGAAGTTCAAGGATAAGCCGGGCGTTGGTGGCGCACGCCTTTAATCCCAGCACTCGGGAGGCAGAGGCAGGCGGATCTCTGTGAGTTCGAGACCAGCCTGGACTACCAAGCGAGTTCCAGGACAGCCTCCAAAGCCACAGAGAAACCCTATCTCGAAAAACCAAAAAAAAAAAAAGAAAAAAAAAAAAAAGAAGTTCAAGGATAGGGGTCTGGAGAGATGGCTCAGAGGTTAAGAGCACTGACTGCTCTTCCAGGGGTCCTGAGTTCAATTCCCAGCAACCACATGGTGGCTCACAACCATCTACAATTCAATCCGGTGTCCTCTTTCTGGCATATAGGCAGAACAATGTATATGTAATAAATAAACAAGTCTTTAAAAAAAAAAGTTCAAGGATATCAACAGCGTAATTAGCTCAAGGCTAGTTTAAAGCAAATTATCAGTGCTTATAATCCTGTTCCTTTGAAATAGGGACCTTCTCTAGCCAGCAGGGAACCTCTGCCTCTCTCTGCAATGCTAGGCTTTGTGCATGCTCTGAACATGCTCTCCACACTCAGCTACAGCCCTAGCCCAGGATAGGGAGCTTGCACACACGCTACAAAACCACAGCTCCAAGCTCCTGGTTCTGCAACTCAGTATGGTTGGCATGATGACCAGGTCACACTGTCTTGCAGTTTTTCAAAGGTACCTGACTGCAACCTCAGGAAGTCAGAGGCATGGGACAGACCAGCTCCCATATACCTTAAGGCAGCCCCACAGGCTGCAGGGCAGAAGGGTGCTGAGCACACACTTGGCACCTGTAGTTTTATTTCAAATTTTACATGAGTTTTCTGTGAGTAAATATAGAAGTAAAGAAGCCCCATGGCCTTTGTGAGGTGGGGAGCTGACCATGTTATCTCTAGAGATAAATTTATAAGGATGACTCACTGAGGAAAAAATAAGCCAAGGTCTCCAACGGGAGCACATTCCCTGAAAGCTAGGTATAGTGACAGGAAAAGGGAATTTCATTGTGTGTAAACACAAGTTCTGTGAGAATGATGTTAACTTGTGGGCTGTGGCAGGGGTAAGCAGGACAAGAGCTAAGGATGCATGTTCCCAACTGCCGTTCCTCCCCAGAATGTGGGACTGGGCGCGTGGAGGGAGGAGGTCAGCACTGAGACAGTGTGGCTCTGGCCCAGGGAACCCATATACTTCTTGACCAGCACTCAGCAGCCTGTGCCAGGAAGGCCACCTCACCTTACCTGCCTCTTCTGACGCTGTCTTCCAAACTGTGATGTCTGTCATTCCGATGCGAACACCAGTGCCATCCACAGACATTTTATCATCTTTTTTTTTTTTTTTTTTTTTTTTTTTGGTTTTTCTAGACAAGGTTTCTCTGTGGCTTTGGAGGCTGTCCTGGAACTCGCTTGGTAGTCCAGGCTGATCTCGAACTCACAGAGATCCGCCTGCCTCTGCCTCCTAAGTGCTGGGATTAAAGGTGTGCGCCACCAACGCCCGGCTCCATTTTATCATCTTTACACAGTCAAGGAAGGACAGGTTTGTGGACAAAGCACAAAAGATCAAATATGGGTAATGTAAATCCTAGTGTCAACAGATCCTGTGACAAAGCCAAGAGGTACCCTACCCAGCATCAGGTGTCTACACGAACCTGTAGGACTGCTGAACTGTGGTCCCAGATGCTCTCTTTGAAGCTGAGTGGGTAGGGAATGAGCATGGGACTGCACAGCACATGAAGGACTGTCTGCTAAACTCTACCCAGTAACTTACATTCCTGGTATCACCTACCTACCTGAAGATTGGAGGAAATACCCTGGCCTATCAGAAGAGGATCGGGAGATGGGATCCTAGCCGATTCTACTGGGCTCTTCCTCTGCCTTTTTCTAGCTCTTCTGCCATGAAGTTCTGGTTTCCTCTTGTGCTTAAGACTTGAACTCAGTCAGGCGTTGGTGGCGCACGCCTTTAATCCCAGCACTTAGGAGGCAGAGGCAGGTGGATCTCTGTGAGTTCGAGGCCAGCCTGGTCTACAAGCAAGTTCCAGGATAGGCTCCAAAGCTACACAGAGAAGCCCTGTCTTGACCCCCATCCCCCCAAAAAGAGAAGACAGTGAACTTTGCTTACTCACCTTTGTGATTCCCACAGTGCTTAAAGCCTAGGTGTGTTTGTGATCTCTGTGAATCGATTTGTAACTAGGTAATGAGTAGGTGAGCACTGTCTGTTTTTCTGCACTTGCCTGACAAGCCCAAAGTAGATCACCCTTGGTCCCAGCACCCCAGGCTCATTGCCCTCCTGCATAGTGAATAGCCCAACACTGCTCTTTGCCATGTGTGGCACGCAGGCCCCACAGATGTGGGAAGTCGCCACTTATGCAGGTAGACTTGGACCCAGGTTTTCCACATCCTCAGGACAAATGTGGTCCATGACTCCTTAACACAGTCAGATCAACTCAAAATCCACACACAGATCCTTCAACCATGCTCCTGGGTCTAGTTTATGTTGTCATGAAAGAAAAACAATCCTTACGGGATGGCTTTGTTTTGTTGTTTGTTTAGCTTAGTTTTCATTTGCTTGATTTTGGGTTGGTTGGTTGGTTTTTTGGTTGGTTGGTTGGTTGGTTGGTTGGTTTGTAGACAGGGTCTCAGTGTGTAGCCCAGGCTGGTCCAGAACCCAGAGTCCTCCTGCTTCATCCTCCCCAGTCCTAGAATTAGAGACATGGGACACCATACCAAGCTAGAAGGGGACTGGGGTGTGACTGAGGGTCAATACCTGCTGTTGAACTGTATTTTGTAGACTTGAAAGATTCAGTGTCTCAAGGCTACCTTCTGACATCTTTGAGTTAATTTTTCAGTGTCTCAAGCCAGGATGTCCTGACAGGAAACCTGAGTGTTGTGTGTGTGAGTACAAGTCACTTTCTTGGAAGCCTTGGGCTTCTGACTGGCTTTGCTCAGCCCTGCACATGTGCTGGGGAGAGGGGCAGCCTCCAGGGTCTTCTGCTCTTTGTCCTCAGCGCTCTAACAGCACTTGGGAAGGAAGCACTGGGGCAAATCCTCCGGAGTCCGCAGGCTGTTCTCAATGTCTGAGGTCCAGCGACGCTTAGCATCTGTGAAAACAACTTCCTTTCAGTAAGGCCACAAGGAGCACACCTGGTAGAAGAGGTCTCAGATCACATGCATTAGCAAGAATTGTAGCTAAGGAAAGCTAAAAGCTGCAAGCTATGGCTGTCAGGGCTAAATTAACACTGGAGAGGTTTAATGAGTTACCAAGGATTGTGTGACTTAGAGTTTATACTTGAGCTATCTGTGATCTTTGCAGTATGAAAGCTATTTCCCCAAAAACACTAAGAAGAGGTGCAAAGAAACAGAGGTAGGCAGATTTCTGTGAGATCTAGGACAGCCCTACCTATATAGTGAGTTCCAGACCAGCTGGGACTACATAGTGACACCCAGTCTTAGAGAGAAGTGGAGCCTAGTGGTGGTAGTGCACTGGGGAGGCAGAGGCAGGCAGATCTCTTTGAGTCTGAGGCCAGCCTGGTCTACAGAGCAAGTCCCAGGACAGCCTCCAAAGCTACAGAGAAATCCTGTCTTCAAAAAAAAGGAAAGGAAAGAAATGGTGGGAAGGGAGGAAGCCATAGCCATAAATTATATTGTCACACACAGTGTGGTATCCATAAAATGGCTAACTATGAAAATATCTACAGCTTGGTGATGTTGTTGGTATATTGAAAATGGATTTTTTGTATTTTTATTAGCAAAGTACTCCAGACAAATGATAGTCAGCTGAAGGCATCAGAACAACCCTCACAGAGATCTCAGAGCAGGAATTAAGTCTGTTTCTGTCCCCAATCCCTGGCCTCAGGCAGCTGCAAATGCATATCCCATGTAGATCCAGTCTCTGAAACACTGAATGGAAATTTACTGGGGCTCTCTATGAGGCTAGACTCACACAAACTGACCTGCCCCAGGGGACTCTCCACGGAGCCAGATATTTTATGAGGACCCACATTCCCAGTTGATTGAGTCGACAAAAGGAAACCAAAGAACTGTGTCTTAAAACTGATTTATCCTGCTTAATTGTACACAGTGGATACTCTACTCTAAGCCAGGAGTTGGACAAATCTGAGGTTTGAAGATTCTGTGAAAATGTGGGAGAGAGGCTTTTGTGTCCTTTTGCTTTCTTTAGAGACGATGATCAGCAGTGGAGCTGGCAGAGAGGTTGGATGGCCTTGCAGGAGGGTGACACCAGCAGAGGAGAGGAAAACATAGTCAGAGCTCTCCGGGCTCTTCTGGAAAAGGAGAGCAAAGGGCAAGCAGAGGACTGTTGACTATCAACTTCAGAAAGGCTTCCCAGCCCAAGTGCTCTGGGGTTTCCCAAGTCAGGGAAAAAGAGAGACTGCTTGTGGCCAGTTAGTGCTGGCTGTCCAGAAGGAAGTCGGAAGTCACCAAGAGCTGCATAAAAAGGGACATAGGGCACCCTAAGATGTGTTTTTAAACAAAACAAAATATTGTTCTAATTTTGTTTTCAAATGTTTGTATGAAACAACAAATTAGTATATACCTCCCCTTTTCCAGTTTTTTGTTTTTTGTTTTTTGTTTTTGTTTGTTTTTGTTTTTCGAGAGAGGGTTTCTCTGTGGCTTTGGAAGCTGTCCAGGAACTCGCTCTTGTAGACCAGGCTGGTCTCGAACTCACAGAGATCCACCTGCCTCTGCCTCCCAAGTGCTAGGATTAAAGGCGTGTGCCACCAATGCCCAGCTCCTTTTCCAGTTTTTAATCTGGGAGTAGTTGTACAAGGGAGAGTTATATGTGTGCAGCGGCAAATTATGTGACTACAGATAACAAATGTATTGTTTCAAAAATAGCTATGAGAAATATTTTTTTTTGTTTTGTTTCATTTTTTTTTAGACAGGATTTCTCTGTATAATAGCCCTCGTTGGCCTGGAACTCAATTTTGTAGACCAGGCTGGCCTTGAACTCACAGGCTGGGATTAAAAGTGTGCACCACCAATGCCCGGCTGAGAAAGATGTTTTTGTTGATGTTTTGCTTCAGTGTCTCACTGTGGAATCCTGGCTGGTCTGGAACTACCATGTAAACCAGGCTTGCCTCAAACACACAGAGATCTGCCTGCCTCCTGTGTACTATGATCAAAGCAAGTGCTCATGAAGGTGGTAGCATACACCTTTACCCAAGCACTCAGGACGCAGAGGAAGGCAGATCTCTGTGAGTTCGAGACCAGCCTGGTCTACAGAGCAAGTTCCAGGACAGCCTCCAAAGCCACAGAGAAACTCTGTCTCGAAAAACCAAAAAAAAGAAAAAACAAAAAAAGCATGTGCCAGCAAGGATTTTATTGGTTTTGTTATTTATTTTGGTGTTTTTGTTTTTGTTTTTGTTTTTCAAGACAGGGTTTCCCTGTATTGTTTTGGAGCCTGTCCTGGAACTCGCTCGGTAGACCAGGCTGGCCTTGAACTCACAGAGATCCGCCTGCCTCTGCCTCCCGAGTGCTGGGATAAAAGGCGTGTGCCACCAATGCCCGGCTTATTTTGGTGTTTTTAAGAGGCTGATCTCTGTGAGTTTGATGCCAGCCTAGTCTACAGAGTAAATTCCAGGACAGCCAGGCTGTTACACAGAGAAATCCTGTCTCAAAAAAATCAAAAAGAAATAGGAGAAATAGAAATAGGGGAGAGGCCTTTTCCTTCCTTGGACATCTGAAGGCAGGCTACGTCACTGGTGGCTCTCCTGGAGTCACCCACAGAAATGTGGTCAGAGTTCCCCCTCCTGCCAAGGCTGTTCAAACCATGAGGGGCTAAGCATGTGCTGACAGTTTCCCTCAGTACTAGCACCACAAAGGCACTGGGCGTTGCTGGCGCACACCTTTAATCCCAGCACTCGGGAGGCAGAGGCAGGCGGATCTCTGTGAGTTCGAGACCAACTGGTCTGCAAGATCTAGGTCCAGGACAGCCTCCAAAGCCACAGAGAAACCCTGTCAAAAAAACAAAACAAAACAAAAACCCACAAAGGCTTCATTAAATTGGACTAAGCCACTTTCTTATCTGAATTATTCATGACCATTCACCCAGTGTCATGGTGGGAATGTGAACTTGAGCTAAGTCTCACCTTTTCTCTTTACATGCACTCCTAGGATCGAACTAGGGTTCTCAGGCTTGTGCCTTCACCCAATTATTTATTTTCCATATTGGCAATTAAACCTAGGACCCCTGCTCTTATCACTCAACCATCTTTTTACTTTTTTGTTTGCCTTTTGAGGCAGGGTCTCATTGTAGCTGGTGCTGGCCTCCAAATTCCAGAGCAGGAATTTTTAACTCCAGACCTGCCCTCCCAAATGCTGGGATTCCCAGCCTGTATGCAACATCAGGTTTGCCACTGTGTGTGTGTGGGGGGGGGGTTGTTTTGTTTTTTGTTTTTTAAAGACAGGGTTTCTCTGCGTAGCTTTGTAGACCAGGCTGGCGTTGAACTCAGAGATCCGCCTAGCGTTGAACTCAGAGATCCGCCTGACTCGGCTTCCCTAGTGCTGGGTTTAAAGGCGTACACCACCACTGCCCAGCGCCACAGTATATTTTTTAAGAAAGTGTCTTATCAAATGTTACAACGTAGCTGAAACATTGAACTAAGTAAAATGAGCCTGAACAAGGGCAAGTATTGCAAGCTCCCACGTACACACGCTGTGCAGATAGTGCAAATTCCTAATAGTAGAAGCAAGAGCAAGGAAGTGGGTAACAAATGCTACGGAGGAGAGGAGGGGCTCAAGGCTCGGGGCGGGACCGGGAGGGCACAGCGCAGGCGCAGAGTGTCTGTATGCTCACAGGCGGAGTTTCTGCGTCCTGTGCTGCACCCAACATGTAGGTCTGGCTCTGTACCACCCAGTTTACTTCGGGAGCGTTGAGGATCCCACGGGCTCTTCCTCAGCCTCAACGGTCCTCCTGTGAGCACTCAGAGGACCTCACAGTAAACACGCAATGTCTGCACGGCCACACGACAGAATACACACAGAAACACTGTGTACAGAGCTAACCACACAACACATACAGCTACAACACCACCCAGTCTCATGCACCACACACATCACGAACACATGGTGTTATGCTTTAGTTTGCACTCTCAAGCAGGCATTCTGCCCCCTGCCTTTTGCTCTAAACTCTTACCAAGCAACCTGGTGAGCACAGGAGGCCCCTTTGTTTCCTGGTCTTGCATCACAGGTCTGCAAGATGTCTGCCTCCAACCCCCAGCACCCCGTAGTGCTACTTGGCCAGACAGGCTTCCTGGCAAGCTCTGGCCTCATTCATCCCGTCGTTCTCCTTACCCGAGCACCTGGACCACTTGCTGACCTGCTGAAGCCCTAACCCCAGTTCCTGCAGGTCCTTGATTAACTGAACCCTTCCCTCACACTTCCAATTTCATCCTCTTGAAGGTGCCCTGTGAGGAAAGAAGGCTCTCTGCGCTTCTCTTCCATCTGCTGCACAGTTTGACAATCCTTTGTAATTGCTTGGTTACTGTGTGCCCATACAAAGGGTTAGCCAGGAGGCCTGCCTGCTAGCAACCGGTTTCCCTCCCCAGGGACAGCCGCAGAAGAGCTACAGCTTGCTTGGCTGTGACTACAGCTTCTCAAAGGCACCTGCTCCCTCTGGCTGTCCTCTGCAGGCTCTGCCACCAAGCCACCTTGCCTAAGGGATCCTTGGGGCTCACTTGTCACCTTGTCAGGTCACAGCAGCATCCTGACTGTCCCTCAGAAGATCTTATATACCCCTTATCACACCAGTGGTTGTTGAGCCAGTCTTCACATAGCAAACAGCATTCCAGGGAGGGGCCCCTGAATCCAGGAGGTGGACTTGGTCTATTGCTCTGACCTAGGGGACTGGACCCTGCCCACGGTTTGTTTCTGGGTTTTCTGTTTTGTTTTGTTTCCATTTTTCCATCCTTCTATGTCTTGTTTGTTTGTTGTTGTTTGTTCTTTTTTTTTTTCAGACAGGGTTTCTTTGTGTAGCCTTGGTTGTCCTGGAACTCACTTTGTAGACCAGGCTAGCCTCAAACTCACAGACATCCACCTGCGTCTGCCTCCCAGCACTCGGGAGGCAGAGGCAGGTGGATGTCTCTGAGTTCGAGGCCGGGCTGGACCGACAGCCTCCAAAACAATACAGAGAAACCCTGTCTCTTAAAAACCAAAAAAAAAAAAAAAAAAAAAAAAAAAAACATGCACCACCACCACCTGGCTTCTCTCTCTTAAGATTCAAGACTTTTCCCACGTGCCCGGTTTGGCATTAAGCCCATAACGGCTCCCTCTATTAAGGTATCCCTTTCCTTGCTCTGCTTCTCTGTTCTTCCCCCAACTGGACCTTCCTGATCCCTCATATTCTCCTCCCGGCTCCCATTCCACACTCCTCTTTCTCTTCCCTCCATCCCCCCTCCTCCCATGCTCACAATTTACTCAGGAGATCTTGTCCCTCTCCCCTTCTTGGGGGGGGGTCCCAGGATGACCCCAACTAAGAATCTAAGCAATAGTGGAAGAGGCTGCCTTAAATACCCTTCCCTATAATACAATTAATGACTACCTTAAATGCCATCATAGAGCCTTCACCCAGTAGCTGATGGAAGCAGAAGCAGAGATTCACAGCTAAGTACTGAGCCAAACTCCTGGAATCCCGTTGTAGAGAGGGAGAAGTGATGAGCAAAGGGGTCAAGGCCATGCTGGGGAAACCCACAGAAACATCTGACCTGAGCAAGTGGTTGCTCACGGACCCCAATCTGGGAACCTGCATAGGACTGAACCAGGCCCCCTGAGCATGGGTGTCAGTTGGGAGGCTTGGCAGTCTATTGAGCCCACTGGCAGTGGAATCAGTATTTATCCCTAGTGCATGAATGAGCTTTTGGAGCCCATTCCCCATAGAGGGCTACTCTCTCAGCCTAGACACATGTGGGAGGGCCTAGGTCCTGCCCCAAATGATGTGACAGACTTTGATGATCCCCCATGGAAGGTCTCACCCTCTGGGTGGAGTAGATTGGGAGGGGGATGGGGAGACAGTGTGGGGCAATGGAAGGATGGGAGGGAGAAGAAACTGAGATTGGTATGTAAAATAAGATTGTTTTTAATTTAAACTAAAAAAATAATAAAAAAAAAAGATTCCAGCACTCCAGTGGATTTGTGAGTTCAAAACCAGCCTGGTCTACAGAGTGAGTTCCAGGACAGGCAAGGCTACACAGAGAAACCCTGTCTCAAAATAGAAGCTGGGCATTGGTGACACATGCCTTTAATCCCAGCACTTGGGAGGCAGAGGCAGGCGGATCTCTGTGAGTTCGAGGCCAGCTTGGTCTACAGAGTGAGTTCCAGGACAGCCTCCAAAACAATACAGAAAAACCCTGTCTCGAAAAAACCAGAAAAAAAAAGTTGTTGAGCTATTGGCTAGTAAATTTAGATAGTGTTGTGTGCCTGTGCTTTAACTCTACATAGACCCTTAGAGAAAAAAAATTCTGAGAGTCTTAAAAAAGCTTCCAAAACAACAAAACAAAACAAAAAGCTGGGCAGTGGTGGCGCATGCCTTTAGTCTCAACTTTTGGGAAGCAGAGGCAGGCGAATCTCTGTGAGTTCAAAGCCAGCCTGGGCTACAGAGTGAGCTTCAGACAGGCTCCAGAGAAATCCTGTCTGAAAAACCAAAAGTAAAGTAAAATAAAAATAGGTTTCTGAGCATCTGCCAACACCTCTGCTTTTTGCTCATTAGGACTGTCCCCATACATGTACAGTGAGATGTAAGACTTAACTCCACCAGGTCTAATGGTTTTGTTGTTTTGAATTGCATTCATTAGTTTGTGTGTATGGGAAATGGAAGGGTGTGCAGAACACTAAGTTGCAAGAGTTGGTTCTAATCCACTCCCTGAGTCCCAGGAATGAATCTGAGGTCCCTCAGGTTTTTGGCAAGCACCTTTACTCCCTAAGCTATCTCATTGATTCCCTGGAAACCCGGCAAGAGGTGCAAGCCCAGTCCTGAGCCTAACCTTGTCACTGGACCACGAGGGACACAATGTGATAGGCATTGCAGATTGGTCCGCCTTTTTTTTTTTTTTTTTTTTTTTTTGGTTTTTTTTCGAGACAGGGTTTCTCTGTGGCTTTGGAGGCTGTCCTGGAACTCGCTCGGTAGACCAGGCTGGTCTCGAACTCACAGAGATCCGCCTGTCTCTGCCTCCCGAGTGCTGGAATTAAAGGCATGCGCCACCAACGCCCGGCTTTGGTCCGCCTTTTGTAACTGCTGACCGTGATGAAACCGAATGGAACACCCTGAAGGCCAGGCTGAATTTATAGCTATGGCACTTCCATGCTCCTGAGTGACCGGGCACGCCTGATGACTTTTCCTTCCTTCTGCCGGAAAGTATCCCTACGGGGGGGAATGCCTTGCCCACAAAGGACTTCCCTTCAAAGTCTCAGGAGAGCACAGAGATCTGGACTGGGGGTGCAGCTCAGTGGTACAGTGCTTGCCCGGCCGGCCTGGCTTGCTTAGTTACACAGAAACTATGCTTAATGGGGCATGTCCGCCACCTCAGCTCCAGGCAGGTAGCGGTAGGAGGATCACAAGTTCATAAGTTAGAATGGCTAGAGGGAGGGAGGGAGAGACAGAAGGAGAGATAGAAGGGGGGGGGGGGGGGCAGGAGAGACAGGGTTGCAGACACCTGATCCAGGCGGACAACTCAGATTCTCACAGGAATTTGAAACCTGCCTGGGCCTGGCGGCCAGCGTAGCAACAGCTTCGGAGCCATGGTGTTTTGTAAAGGTCTGGGCTGCCCTGGATCCTGCCTGTCTGCCGCACTAGCTCTTCCTTCCGTCCTCGGTACCACCCCAGTGTCCTTCCAATAAGCTGCAGTTGGTCTTGGTGGGCCGAATCGTTTCCCAGTCCTGAAAATTAAACAAAACACCAAGCCCCAAACAAAGCAAGCCCGGTGAAACCACTCCAAATGTGCCTGGGAGGCGTGGCGTGGAGGAAGAAGGAACTTCGGACTTCTGGTTTTGTTTTAACTCTTTTCATACCCAAAGTAGTGTTTTCCATGGCTTGATTTTAGTTTTCTTTTTTGACTCAAGAGTCTGGCTTTATAACCCAGGCTGGCCCCTAGGTCGTGAGTGCAGGTCTTTCAGACACCATCCCCTCTCTGGAGAGCACCCACTCTCCCCCCCCCCACCCTCTCTCTCTCTCTCTCTCTCTCTCTCTCTCTCTCTCTCTCTCTCTCTCTCTCTCTCTCTCTGTCTCTGTCTCTCTGTCTCTGTCTCTGTCTCTCTGTCTCTGTCTCTCTCTCTGTCTCTCTGTCTCTCTCTGTCTCTCTGTCTCTCTCTGTCTCTCTGTCTCTCTCTGTCTCTCTGTCTCTCTGTCTCTCTGTCTCTCTCTCTCTCTCTCTCTCTCTCTCTCTCTCTCTCTCTCTCTCTCTCTTTCTGACAGGGACTCATGTAGCCCAGGCTGGGTGTGAACTGTGTAGGCAAAGATGACTTCGATTACACACACTCATGCACACACATGCACACACACACACACACACACACACACACTCATGCACACCTGTCCTGCTTCTACCTCCCATGGACTAGGATTCCAGGCATGGTCCACCATGCCTGCCCTCTTGGTTTTTTTTTGTTTTGTTTTGGTTTGGTTTTGTTTTTTTTGAGACAGGGTTTCTGTGAAACGTTGGCTGTCCTGGAACTCACTCTGTAGACCATGCTGTCGGTGAACTTGCAGAGATCCACCTGCATATTTTATTTATTTTTTTAAATACAGGGTCTCATGTAGGCCAAGCTGACCAAGAACTCCTTATGTAGCTAAGGCTGGCCTTGAACTCTTAACCCTCCTGCTTCCAACTGCTGGATGTTGCGCTGGGGTTACCAGGGTGCACCTCCATGGCAGGTGCCAAAGAAGTTTTAAATCATTGTTTTCAACTGCAAACTGTGTAAGTTTAGAAAAATTCTGCCATGAAATCTTAATTTCTTCAACTTTAACATGGGCGTTATTTGTGTTGTGTAACATGAAGTTGATTTGTGTTGGTTGTGTCTCAGTGGTTTTTTATTTGGTTTTGGTTTATTTTTGGCTGTGCTAGGGATGGAACTTATGGTCTTGGTAATATTAAGCCAGGTTTCACTATATTCTAGGTTACAACTCACTATGTAGCCCAGGCTGGCCTGAAACACATGCCAATCCTCCTGCCTCGGCCTCTAGAGTGTTGGGATAACAAGAATGAGCCACCATGCTGGGCTTCTTAGCTTTTTTCTTTTTTGTTTGGTTTTTTTTTTTTTTTCGGGAGGGTCTTACTTTGTAGACCAGACTGGCCTCAAATTCATAGACACCTACCTACCTCTGCCTCCTGAGTGCAGGGATTAAAGGCCTACACCACCACCCCTGACTTATTAATTAATTAATGCATTTATGCATTCAGTGCTATGGACAGAACCCAGGGCCTTATTGCTAGACAAATACTTTATCTCTAAGCATACCCTCAGGCCCTGTCAGAGATTTATTTAGGGCTGGAAAGATGACTCAGTGTTTAAGAACACTTGTTGCAGGCCTACATGGTGGTGCACACCTTTAGTCCTAGTGCTCAGGAGGATGAGGCAGTGGATCTCTAAGTTGAGGCTAGCCTGATCTACAGAGGAGTTCCAGGACAACCAGAGCTTCATAGAGAAACCCTGTCTCAAAGAAGAAACAAACAAACAAACAAAAAACCAGTTTGTTTTTTGTCAGTCTCATATATTCCCAGTTGTTCATGAACTCTGTAATCAAGGGTGACCTTGAGCTTCTGATCCTCCGACCTCTAAATCCTCAGTGCTGGAATTGCAGGTCTGAGGAAGAACCCAGGCGTCTAACTAGCTGCATCCGCAGCCCTAGGGTCCTTTTTCACTCACACAGTGAGGAAGG